ATTAAACTCTTCAATTCCATTCATAATTGCAATACATCCACAAAATGATATTAAGAAGGTGTGAAAATGTAATGAAATGATTTCCGAATCCAGAAAGCATTATGCAATACTTAATAAATTGCACTTCCATACCTCCTTCTTATATCCTCATCTACAGACTTTGTTCTATTTCCATTTCTTGATGATAATAATAATATTTTTCTCTCTCTCATCTATGCAAATGGGGAATATGTTGAATAGCAATAAGGAATAGCATCAGCAGGTTATAAGGAAGAAATTGTATACAGCCAAGCAGGGAGATTGTTATTTATTGTCGACCGTATTATCGAGATGGTGGAAAAAATTGCGGACGCGGGGATAATTTAAGGATATAAATTTAATTTTATTATATTCTTACTTTCATTCCTCTTTAGATAAATAATAATTTTATTATTTTTTATGGAAGAAATTTTTTTAAAATTTTATTTTTTTGCGTAAGAAAAAAAGTTGAGAAAAAAATTATTAATATAAAATCGATTAAAAGAAAACTCTCACAGGGTGAATAAATTATAATTTTTTATGTGCACCGATTCCTTATCCGCAGACTTATAAATTCAATGTGGATGTAGAGAAAAAATGTTAATTAGAGTAGGATGTAGCAGGTTATTGAGGGATTGGGAAAGCCGAAGTCTGACTCCGAAGCTGACCAATTGTCAAGTGCATACCTTCTCGTGGTATCCCTTGATACCGCTAAATGCACCGCTGGCGACCGAGCCCTGTGCCGGGATAAGTACTTTAAAGGATAGATTAAAAGCCTATCCAACAAACAACCTCGCCTGGAGGGTGGCAGCCCCACAATCAGGCTAGGAATGGTAAGGTTTACAACCTATCATTTCCGAAATCAACTTGTACAAAGAAAGCAACAAAAGGTAGCAGGTTATTGTATCTACGAGGTGGTGTAAAAAGTGTTATCAAACTCTACAGATAATGTTGGATATAACAAGCATCAAATTTGGGGGTTTGGAAAAATAAATATATTTAAATGAGATGACGAAAAAAAAATTAAAATATTTGAAAAATTTAAAAGAAAAGAGAGAATTTAAATATTGGCATTGTGGGAACTGAAAGCTGTAAATTATTATGGAATTATGATGGAAATTTAGAAGACAAAAAGGAAGTCGAATAGAAAATATTCAATAAACAAGGAATTTTTTGAAATAATAATTTTTTTGTAAGACAATTCGAATGAAATTTTAATCTTATTAATTTCTAAACTTTGAGGAATTGATTGAAAATTGTTTTTGAGGGGTTTGATGCTTGGTGGCTTAAGAATTTTCAAATAAAAGACTTTTAATCTATTAACGGTCCAGAATAGGACAAAAGCAGACAAAAGTTATTCAAATTTAAATAATAACGGTTTAATATTTATTTATTCTTGATAAAATCAACAATTTAATGCAAAACCAACAATTATAAGTGCTACTAAATCATTCAATCCACTCAACCCCCTTATCGAAAATCCACAATCAGCACAAAGGCTCTTGCTCTGCGTATTGCGTACATTACGATTAAAATCCTTTTGAACTACTTTTCAATTATTCCTTTTTTTTGCTCTTTTCATATCAACAGCTCAATTAATGCTTCAACATAATTCAAACTCCTATCATAGAACTTTCCCCAAGTATCAAGCACAAAAAAAAACACTAAAATGCTTTTAATATTCCCGATTATCAATGTTGAATAGAGGCAAAAATCTATAAAACTTCAGCTATATTATTAAAACACAATAAAATTTATTGTGCGGCCTTCAACATTCCGTTCTATATTTTTTTTTGCCTCCTCCACCTTATATATATTATTGCGAACGCGATATTAATTGATTTTCCCACATTATACACCACGTACATATTGTACGCGAATGTATGTTTTCCTATTTGAATGGAAATAAAAAAAAAATTGTTATAAATTCAATAAAGTGGAAAACTATGTTGATAGTAAATTTTATTCCTATACACATCGAACATTGTAATTATCGAGCATGAACGAGTTTAAATATACAAAAAAAAATTAAAAAAACACACACACACTTGTCATTGCGTACAAGTTTGAATGATATATTTTGAAATTATAATTATATAGATAGATAAAATGATGGGAAAATTGACTCGATCAACAGCATTTAATTGAGTATATTGTAAATAAATTTCGAGAAGGTTGGTGGGTGGCATCACTTCGATTATTTTAATATTAATTTGATGATAAACTAGCTTGCGTGTGTGGATACAGATAATTAATTGAAAACAAATCAAAATTGAGATTGTGGGGATGGAAATGCGCGGAAAAATGCTACAAATGATACAAAAACTCGGTTGATTTTGTTATGTTGTCTTTACGTTAACGAAATTATGAGCAAATATACTAAATGGAATTGAATTACGACGGGGAGGGGCTGTAGGGATTCTTAAGTCGACGTTCTTGTTATTCTAAAGACTATGAAGCTCATAGTGGGATTCGAACAACTATAAGAGCGAATATTCTACCTAAAATGTCCAATCATAAATCATAGACCCTCCCGGATCAACCAAAACCCCTACGAGCCCCAAAGATACAGCATCGCATGAAAATGAAGTGTATTTGCGTATCTATCAACCGAATAATGACAACGGAAAACATTTTCTGACTGAAAAGAATTTTTTTTTTCTTCCTTTTTTTTGCTATTTGTTTTAAATTAAAAAATGAAGCAAAACAAAAGCAATTGAATATTTTATTATTTTATATTTTCAATTCCCTCCCTTTCATGCTCACATCCCACCATTCTCTTTCTTTCTCTGTGCTGTTCTGAGCATTTTTATATTATTATTATTATTTTGTAGTCTAAAATGAAGGAGGATGAGAAGGAATAAAAATTATAATTAAATTTCTTTACAGTACTTTGAGCAGGTTTTGCACACAAAACAGAAAAAAAATTGCATTTTGCCGAGTGCCATCCTCATACTGTTGTAAATTCCACTTCCATTCTTACTAGCTGCCAGACAAATTGCTTATCCAAATGAATTGCTCATCGGTTGGAAGTAAGCAGAAGGAGAATGAGTTGCATTTTGAAGACGATGATGCTTCGAGGTATTTCACTCTCTACGTTTCGCATATTCGCTTATTTATAAGGCATATATTTCGCAAATGAAAAGCAATTGTGTAATTGTGTATATCATAAACAACTAAAAAACTGTTCATGTTCTTCTTATTATTACTTTACTTACTTCTTTTCTTTTAAAATATTAATGATGATGAATTCTGAGAGGTTGAAAATGTTTTAATGCCCTAAAGGTATCGTGTCGTTTGTTATCTTTCATTTTTTTCGGTTAGACAGATACTTCTTGTGCTGTATATGAAATTACTCTCTTCACATTTCATTCATCAATAAAATAAAATAACGTAAAATTATCCAAGATGTAGATTCATGATGATTGAAGTCATATTCTCTTTCTTCGGACATCTTTTTTTGGTCTTGGGGATTTATTCGTTGATGGACATTGGGTTGGATCACGCAATCATCAAATAAATACAATTCAATCTTTGAATGATTAAAAATTTCTCCCAATGTTGCCATAAAAGTAATGCTTCATTTGAATTGTTAGCATGATTTTGTGGTTGTGGATACAAATTGACCATTTTTGTTACTTCTGTGGTTTCTAGATTATGCTTGCCACTTTTTCGCATCTCAATACTCAACAATATTTCAATTTTAATAAGATTTAAGGCATTTAATCTTCAAAATACTTTTTGAGGTGACAGCGAAAAATTTCAATTTTCAAAAACCCGTTAAAATTAATCACCTCAACTGCGTTCCATTCTTAAAAACTCATACTTTATGTATCTTTCCATCCCATTTCTCTCATTTATTGGCCTTCCATCGAACGATATGTCGCGTGATGTGTTTAATGAAACAGAAAAATACTTTGAGATCTCTGATATAGGACCCCTCTTCCTTTTATTTAATTTGATTGATACATTGCGTTTTATTTGATTATTCTTTGACCGAATATGTTTTCTTAGATGAATGCGGTGACCAAGCATGCTTGCTTCGAATATGGATTGCTCTGAATAAGTTAATGAAATTGTTTTATGATGAATAAGTTTTTGTGCTCTCAAGGCTTGATTATTTTTCTTGAGAAATCAAACTAATTGGAAGTAATTGGAATTTTTTTTTTTCAAAAAGAAATGTACAATCATGAGTATCACATGTTGTCTTGATTGACACATTTGTTCAATGAAGAGGTAGATGAGATTATTATGAGGTTGAACATGGGTAATTATTAAATTGAGATGAAATTTTGATAGAAAAATGGGTTGAAGATTCGAAATTTTGAGGTTATGAATTTTTTGCAAGCTGATTAATGGCCATTTGCTGACATTAAAAACGGTTTAATAAGTTTTTGGACAGCCTTAATGCTGGCAATGATTTTAATTAAAGTTGAAAGTTCAAAAGTTGAAAAAAAAGTCTTCAAATATTTAATTACTATTTGATTTCATGTCAAAATTCTCATCGATTCTGTTGTTAAACTAACAATTCATAGGTTAATGACTCAAGACAATCCAGAATAAAACAATAAAATTTGTCTTTCACACAGTGGTCGAAAAACTATCATAGTCCACGGTTCTGTGCTTCAATTCTTATTCTTCCCCAAAAAATAAAATAAGAAAAAAGAATTCTTGTGAAGAACATAAAGAAACAATCAACCTCACGCATCATTTACTTCTGATGTTGTCATTATATCATTTTTTGACCATTCTTCGATTGAAATTGCTACTAATGATGGAAAAAAAGTATCATTTGAATGATTTGGCTTCTTATTTTGGTGTCTGTTGGGTTTGTCTCTCACAATCATTTATCTAGTCGGTGATTATCTTCCCACACTCTGAGGATGGTTCAATAGATATTTATTTTTGACATTTAAATTGTAATTATTGACGGCATATCCAAAATTCTTACTTAAATTCTTTATTTTTTTCTAAATTTCTAGAATCAGGAATGCCACAATTCGGACGTCCAGACTCCGAGGGAATGACAGACGAGCGTATCCAACATATTCTTACAGAAGCATCAAGCATGATTCAAAAGTCATCGCCACAACAAAACTTACAAAACTCAAGCCTGCAAAACACAATGAAGAACATGAATATTGAAGATTCGCACAGCATTGAAGATTCAAAATCACCACCAAGTTGCACATCGCCATTCTCAAAGAGATTGAAGAAGTACGAGAATGATGACATTTCTGAAGAAAAATTACAGAAAATTTATCAGGAAGAATTCCAAAAACTCATGGCTCGTGGTCAACGTGATGCATTTCCAAAGTAAGTCTAAAGCAATAAAGAGTTACCTTACAATTTAATTAATTTCTTTATTCCTTTAAACAGCCTTCTATTCCCACACTTCTTTGGTGCTGGAAGCGGAATGCCACCATTAGCTGACGAGAATCTCCGATTGGCACTCGAAATGTATCAGCGTGAATTCTCAAAATTACAGCAACAAAGTGGTGCCGGCTTACCAAACTTTACGAACAATCTCACAAGTCTTCTAGCTTTACAACAGCATCAAGCACTCAATGGAAGTTCAATTCAAGATTTATCGCTTCCGAAGGAAATGCAAAAATTTGGTAAATCAAATGGATTAGATGATTGTGATCAGAAAGATATTGAGGAATCAATGAGAAGTGCATTCAGTATGGTCAAACCAAAGCCTGAACCAACATCAACACCAACAACGACAGCATCATCAGCACCAAGTCCTGTTAGCAACACAATTCTTCCACCTGTAACACCAACTGATGAATTTTGTGTTAATGCAAGTCCATTGCAACGTATGGCGTCCATTACAAACTCATTAATTACACAATCACCTGTTCCATCACATGTCTCATCACCACAACGTCCATTAAAGGCTGTCTTGCCACCAATAACACAGCAACAATTTGATATGTACAATAATCTCAATACGGAAGATATTGTGAGGCGGGTCAAGGAGGCATTATCACAATATTCCATAAGTCAACGACTTTTTGGTGAATCCGTACTCGGACTATCACAAGGATCCGTATCTGATTTATTAGCACGTCCAAAACCATGGCATATGTTGACACAAAAAGGACGTGAACCATTTATTCGTATGAAAATGTTTTTGGAGGATGACAATGCCGTCCATAAACTCGTCGCAAGTCAATATAAAATAGCACCCGATAAGCTCATGAGAACCGGAAATTACAGTTCAAGTCCACAAATTCCAGCACAATTGTCAAAACAAATGCCACCAATGCCAAAATTGTTGAGCGAACAAATGGCAAAATTACAAGATCCGGCATTATTGCATATGCAAATGAGTCAAATGGCTCATTTATCACAAGCCGTTGCCGAACAACAAAGACGTGAAATGCAACATCGCGAGTCACAACAGCCATTGCTTCTTACACCACCAGGTCTTCCACCACAACACGCAATTCAATTACCACCAAAAGATCAAAAGTCCAGCGATAAGAAAATGATGCCAATTCCTTCGCCACAGCATTCGGAAACATCACAACCGCCACAAACTGTAACGCCAAGTAATGTTATGCGTACAATGAATCAACACATATCACCAACTGTTTATGAAATGGCTGCACTTACACAGGATTTGGACACGCAAATAATTACAACAAAAATTAAGGAAGCACTTCTCGCTAATAATATCGGACAAAAAATATTTGGTGAAGCAGTTTTAGGACTCTCGCAAGGATCTGTATCAGAATTGTTATCGAAGCCAAAACCATGGCATATGTTGAGCATAAAGGGACGTGAACCTTTCATTCGTATGCAATTGTGGCTTAATGATGCAAACAATGTTGAGCGATTGCAATTACTAAAGAATGAACGCCGTGAGGCAATAAAGAGAAGACGTTCAACAGGCGCCGGTGGACATGATAATAGCTCAGATACAAGCAGCAATGATACATCTGAATTTTATCATTCAAATTCTCCGGGACCAGCATCAGTTGCATCACAACAATCAGCACCACCAAATAAGAAGCAACGTGTCTTGTTCTCAGAGGAACAGAAGGAAGCATTGAGACTAGCATTTGCACTTGATCCATATCCAAATGTTCAAACAATTGAGTTTCTTGCAAATGAGCTCAATCTATCGACACGTACAATTACAAATTGGTTCCATAATCATCGCATGCGATTAAAACAACAAGTGCCGCATGGACAACCAACAGAACCAATTCCATCACGTGAAAATAACAATGGTGCACCATTTGATCCCGTTCAATTTAGAATTCTATTAAATCAGAGATTAATGGAGATTCAAAAAGAACGAATGGGACTTAGTGGAATGACTCTTCCATATCCTCCATATTTTGCTGCTAATCCAAACCTTGCTGCTCTTATTGGACGTGGTCTTTTGAGTGGCACCGATCCAGAACAACTTGCTGCCCTCAATAATGCCGTTAAGGAACAAATTATGGGTCTTGATCTGTCAATGACCTCATTAAAACGTGATGATGATGACTATGATGATGAACAAAATTCAGACAATGATGGAGGAAATGACGATGATGATGAGTCATTGAATGAATCTAAACTTAACAATAATAATGAACAGAAAGATATGTCACCGCCACCTCAAACCATTTCACGTACATCCAGGAGAAAACCTGCAGCACCACAATGGGTTAATCCATTGATTACAAGTGAGTATTTTAGATACTTTTAAGGTTCAACTTCATATAATTAGATCCCTTTATTAGGGATCATCAATTCAAACATCCAGTAGACCTTACTAAAGACTTACTTTTACCACCTCTATTTTCAGTGACAACAGGCGAATGGGGCGACAAAAACAACATTCCAAATGATAAGGAAGTGATTATAAATGGCGTTTGTGTCATGAATCAATCATCTGACTACAAGTCAAATGATGATGAAGATGTAAATATGGAAAAATCGAACGAAGACAAAGACGATAACTTGACAATTGCTGAAAGCAACGACGAAGATGAAATTAAAAAGTCATTCATTAAAAAACCAAATCCAATTGATAGTTCTGATGATATTCAGGTGAAGAAGGAGGTCGACGAGGGATGGAATGAGTTTTAAGAATTAAATGAAAATTATGTGCAATGCGCTGATGTTTAAGATTAATTATTTTGTGTGGATGGGATGTGAGTTTGGTGTTTTTTGGGAAGTTTTTGATAGGAATTGTTGAGATTTAAGATATGGAATTGCCAAATGATTTTAAAGCTTGAATTGGCAGAAATGAAATCAAACTTAAGGTTATTAGAATTAGCCTTTAATCAAAAGGTCGTGGTTCAAATCCCATTCTATTCAAATTGTAAATCGTAAGCAATTTTTATCAACCTTTTCACCAAAAACTTTCCAAGAAAACCCAAACAAAAATGAAAAACCTGTAAAATACGAAAAAATTTAATTAAAATTCAACTTGTTTTCTTCAAAAAAAAACCTTTAAAAAAGCTGAAAAACTTCCAAAAATGTCATGGAAGTTGGAAAAAATTTCCTTCAATTCTTTTTAATTTTTCAACTTATTAAAGATATAAATATTAAGAATCTTATCATGATATAAGCAGAGATAAGCTACATAAATATAGTTTAATCACGAATATAACAATAATAATTGAAGAAGTAACATAATAAAGATGATAAAGACTGTTTACTCAATATTTTAAAAAAAAATGAAAAAGTCATAAAAGTCACAAGCGCAATAGACTCAAAACAAACTCACAAAAGATTCACTCAATTTACGGTAGATTTTTTTCTCTGAAGGAAGTTTTTGATTAGTTAAACGTACTTAAGAAATATTTCTCATTAATTTGTTGATAAATAATAATGTAAATAGAATCGATTTCATTTAATTATTTAGCCAAAATGTTTATTGCTTAAACTATAATATGCGAATGTAAATAATCTGAGCAATTTTATAACTTCCTCATTATGAACCTTGATTAAGAAAGAAATCTCGATCTCAAAAATGATAAAATTTATCTATCACACGACTTTTTTTTAATTGATAAACAAAATAAGTAAGAGCGCTAGAAGATTTTTTTCTTATTAAAAGAATTAAGAAATGGTGGAAATGACTTGGAAGTTATTGATAGAAAATAAGTTAAGAATTTCAAAAAATTTGTGAATGCGGCTGAACTCTAATAATCATTCGGGCACATTCACAAAATTCTTGAAAAATTGATAATGGAATTAAAAGAAACTTCCTAGAAGTTTATAAGAATCATTTCATTATCAATCAAGTCAAGCCCCACCATTCAAACTGTACAATGATACCAAATAATGAAAATTATAAATTTTTAAATGTTTTTAAACAAAGAGAAATTATGTTGCACACATTTTAAAAGGACGTGAAAAGTGGTTTATTGAGAGATGTATAAAGGAACATATTAGTTGATATCATATAATAAGTGAAATCTCTTAGTTAAACATTCAAAAATCACGCATATCGAGTTGATAAGGATTCACACACACATTTTATTAATTAACTTACTTTATACTCTTGGATGGATCTTAAAGACTTAAATTTGAACTTGAAGTTAGTAGAATTACATGAATTGAGTTGAGAATTTTGAAGATCCAGCTGGAAAATCAAAGATCCAGCTGAAGTAAACAAAGTTTAACCTGAAAATTAAAGATCCAAGAAGAATAATGAGATCCAGCCAAGGGAACTTCTTCATTTCTCAAGAATAATGCTTTTTGCACATAATTATAAATGCATATAAAGTGAAGTATTAAAATTTTAGAAAATACCAAAAAAAGAAATAAAAAGAAAAAGTAAAGAAAATTGAGATGGAAAACTTTTAAAAAATTTCCACGCTAATAATCTAGCTATGTAATTAAAAAAATTCTGTAATATATATAAATTAATTAATTTAAAATTCATTTACTAATTTGAAAAAATATCAAATTGGATAAAGGAACCAAAATCCTTGCATTTATTCTCAAAAAATAAATAATTAAACAAAAAATGATGAGTTTGTAGTTGATCAAAAAAGAAAGTCATGCGATTTGTATAGATGATAAAATTAAGACGTCGATAAACCTTAAAATTAATTAGATAGAGTAAATCTTCAAGAAGAATTTTCCGTTCAATTTAATTTAAATTATTTTTGCGATCTATTCAAAAAATTAATCATAAAATTTTAAAATTTCTAGAAAGGATTTAAAAATTATTCCAAATATACCAAAACTTATAAAAAAAATAGCGTCATTTATTGATAAGAAAATGCGCTAAAAAGAAAAATATCAAAGATGATGGAATAAAAAAAACACACTTTTAGGGATGTAAAATTAGGAATAAAGTTCAGTAAAAGAAAATTAAATTAGTGTATCGGGTAGAAACCCAATGCGGATATATTCACATCGTACCATCAAAAATCTTGCGGATAGACAAAGTTTTGCTCAGCACTATTTTGAACGTTTAAAGTTTAACGAGTCAGCTGAGCTTTGCTTTAAGCTCCATTTCGTCACAAAATTGGAAAAACTGATTATTCAATCTGAACAAAAACAGTAGATTCACACGTGATACGGTGTGAATATAAAAATTGTAATTTTTAAGGTGAAAAAAATTGAATTTAATTCTACTCTCAACAAAAAAAATAATATATTATAATTAATACATTTAAAAAAAACTTTTTTAATAATGCATAAACACAAAAAGAAGAAAGAATCGTACAGATAAAATTATTTGCAATACAATGGCTTAGTGAAGTCGATTTTAAAACTGAAAATAATTAATTAATTATGTTATGAAAAATACAATCTTTTTTAATTTATTGTATAAGAATTTTACATTTTTTTAGTTTCTAATACTATTTTTACATAGGTTGTTTTATTGTCCGTTAACTGTTCTTCTAAGTACACAATGATAGACGTCACACACATGAGTATGCATAAAATGATAAAAATTAATGAGTTTATGTGGCTATTGTCGTCAGAATTGCTCATTTATTGCTTCAGATTAGCGATAAGTGTGGGTGGGAGTCAGTGTTGTAGGTTATGTCCCTAGACACCCTCACCCATCCTATAGAATGAGCTAGAGTTAGTGTTATACTCCTAATAGAGTAACATAACCTCAAAATATTGAGAAAATTCATAGATCTCGTAGCCACATAACCTCAAAAAAGAAAAATTTGTGTGTGGATAAAAAATTCGATAATCTTTTTTAGTTAAAATAAATAGTTTTTATGAAATTATTATGTTCACTGTTATTATGTAATTCTCAATAGAACAACAGTTTACAGATAAAATATTGCATAATTTTTACTTAAAATTATAAAATATAAACAAAAAAATCTAAAAAAAGTGATTGCTGAAGATAAATCAACATAAGAATAATAAAAAAATTGTACATAGAGTATCCCGCATATCAAAGCAGATAAAAAAAGTAATCTAATTATACCAATTTTAATGAGAATTCTTCTTAGATGATGATAATGATTTAATCGCCAGAAAAAATATTAAAACATTTTTTTTTTCGATAATAGTTTTAAATAAAAAAAAATGAAAAAGAAAAAGGCGAAAAATTAATAAAAAAAAATATTATCATTATTGATGAAATTATTGATGAATAAAAATTATTAAAATAAAAAAAAACCCTTGTCTTTGGAATATTTTTTTAAGTATATTAAACTTTCAGCAATTTTTTAAATGACTTGCAGGGCTGGTGTTTTTCGTATACACCTACAACCTGTCTTCTCATTTAGTAGAAACCGGTGCTACTAGCTTAGTAAAGTTTTTTTGAACTTGAAAATTTTTTGTAATCTTTACTAAGCTACTACCAAAAAGAAAGTTTAATTAATCTTTTTTAAATTTCTAAGTATCAGTTTCAATGCCTTATGACTAAGGCGTGGAAACTATCCAAAATATCCCATATATCCCAAAAATATTCAAAATAATCCCTGAGCCGGTATGCATTAGAACTGAGATATCCCATCATATCCTGAAATTACACGACCGATACACTAAGGATACGTTGGGATATCTTAATTATCGTGCATACATGCTCAGGAATATTTTGAATATTTTTGGGATATGTGGGATAAATATGATATTTGGGATAGTTTCCACGCCTTGCTTATGACATTGTCAATAAAATAAAATCGAGATGATAGCAAAATTACTTTAATTAAGTTAAAACACTCAAAATTTTCAATCGAAGTTCAATTTCTTTACTAAGCTACTACTCGTTACTAAGCTACTAGTAAGCCAAAAAAATCACTTTTTTATTCTTCTAAGCTACTAGCTTATAACGAAAAAACAGGGTAAGTATATAATGACCATAGGTAAAGAGTTGGTCAATAAGAATAAAAAAGAACCCATTCCCATTGAAATTTGAATTTTTAACGTTGAACGATAAATTCAATTCGAAATCAATGCACTATGGCATAAAATCGATTTTTTTTTCCAAAAATTATATTTTAATTTTGGCCCAAAGTGCAGCAGTGCTGGAGGTATAGCCCGAAATGTATTTTGATGACCTTCGATAATTAATATTTTCAATTTATCAGAACTTTTTCTTGTCTCAATCAGTTTTCATGAAAATCTTTTTTCATAAAATTGTAGCCCTTTACTAGATCTACAAGAAAAATATCCCTTACAAGGTTTAAAATTATATTTATGCATCAAAAAATTGAGATTTTTTCAAAAAATATACGGTTTTTTACTATATTTTGACTTCAATTGACTATAACTGCATATTCCAAGTGAGTGGAGAGACAAGTTTTAACTGTTTTATATAGCCCTCACTTGTATCTTTCTAAAACTGTGAAAACCTGGAAATAGTTCCAACAAATTTTCAACTTTGAACGGCTTTGAACCATTTGAAACATGTCATCTGCATGCATCTCAAATATCATTTTCAACTTTTTTCATCAAAATCATGTCCAAACTTGATAAAACTTTCAGAAATGTTAGAAAATAGTATTTTTGATGTTTTAAAATCAATTTGAGTTTTTGGCATGGACTTGGACCATTTTTATTTGAAATTTTATCATTTTCCATTTTCAATGAGATGCAAATGACTTTAAATACACTATATGCTTAACAAAAAGTATTTGTATTACCTTTTATGTTAAGCTGCTTAAATTACCTTTCCAACGATATATAATATGTCATATATGAGTACAATATCCCTGAATAATGTTGAAAAAACTGAAAAATTACTCAAAATTCGAGGTGTGTGAAGAACCATACTTAACATTTTTGCTCAAAACTATATAAAATCTCAAGTATATTTTATAAATTTGGTACTGTTGGAGTACTAGCTATAAGCAGGGTGGGTGATTTAAATCAAAAATCAAAATCAAAATCTTTTTGCAATGATTTAAAAAGGGATTTTGATTTAAATCATTTTACCCAAGTGATTTTTTTTTCGATTTTGATTTAAATCATTTTTGCAAAGGGATTTTTTTTGGGGATTTTGATTTAAATCTTTTGTATGAAAGATTTAAATAACTTGAATTCATCAAGCATGCCTGGATCTTACTCTTTATGAGGAACTACCTGCTTTCATTGCTTTTAAAATCTTAAATGTCTTTTATTACAGTACCAAAGTAGTCTACGTTTGTCCGAAAAAGGATCAACTGCATTCTTACTAATGAGGAACTGCAACTGAAAACTGTTGATTTGAAAAATAATTTGAGATATTGCATACAAAAATTTTATATGGAGGGATTTTAAAATCCAAAAAAAATCTTTCATACAAAAGATTTAAATCAAAATCCACAAAAAAATCCCTTTGCAAAAATGATTTAAATCAAAATCCCTTTTTAAATCATTGCAAAAAGATTTTGATTTTGATTTTTGATTTAAATCACCCACCCTGCTTATAGCCAGGACTCCAACAGTACCAAATTTATAAAATATACTTGAGATTTTATATAGTTTTGAGCAAAAATGTTAAGTATGGTTCTTCACACACCTCGAATTTTGAGTAATTTTTCAGTTTTTTCAACATTATTCAGGGATATTGTACTCATATATGACATATTATATATCGTTGGAAAGGTAATTTAAGCAGCTTAACATAAAAGGTAATACAAATACTTTTTGTTAAGCATATAGTGTATTTAAAGTCATTTGCATCTCATTGAAAATGGAAAATGATAAAATTTCAAATAAAAATGGTCCAAGTCCATGCCAAAAACTCAAATTGATTTTAAAACATCAAAAATACTATTTTCTAACATTTCTGAAAGTTTTATCAAGTTTAGACATGATTTTGATGAAAAAAGTTGAAAATGATATTTGAGATGCATGCAGATGACATGTTTCAAATGGTTCAAAGCCGTTCAAAGTTGAAAATTTGTTGGAACTATTTCCAGGTTTTCACAGTTTTAGAAAGATACAAGTGAGGGCTATATAAAACAGTTAAAACTTGTCTCTCCACTCACTTGGAATATGCAGTTATAGTCAATTGAAGTCAAAATATAGTAAAAAACCGTATATTTTTTGAAAAAATCTCAATTTTTTGATGCATAAATATAATTTTAAACCTTGTAAGGGATATTTTTCTTGTAGATCTAGTAAAGGGCTACAATTTTATGAAAAAAGATTTTCATGAAAACTGATTGAGACAAGAAAAAGTTCTGATAAATTGAAAATATTAATTATCGAAGGTCATCAAAATACATTTCGGGCTATACCTCCAGCACTGCTGCACTTTGGGCCAAAATTAAAAAAGATTCTGATTCCTTGGGTAAAGACCTTTCAAATAAGTCAATGAAATAATTTTTGGAAAAAAATTGATTTTATCCTATAGTGACAATGTAAGTTGTTAAAATGCTTATTTTTGAATGTTTAACAATTTAAGGATTGTAATTAAATCTTTGCTAGCAATTCTATTTTAAACCTTTGAGATTGAATTTATCCGTTAAAATCCAGCATGTCCCAAATAAATTCAAAAAAACGGTTTTTAAAATTTCAAACTTCAAAGGGACACGTTCAGTTTTTAGACTAGTTTTTCGAAATGGGGGGTCTTCGTTTTGAAAATTTTGTCTGGTTTGAGGGGGAAAAACTATTCTACTCGCTAAAGTTGCAGTTATTCAAACCAAGGATACCCATTAAAATTCTTGTAAAACCAAAATTGCGTTTTCTGGTTAATTTAATTAACTCTGTGAAGATATAGTCCATTTAAATTATTAGTACAGTCAACAGAATAAATAGGAGCAATGTCAGGAGCTGCGAATAGACGCTTACAAAAGGTAAAAGTCCAAAAAGATTAGTAATTAACTTAATCCCTTATATTTTCGTGAATCAGAAGGTGCTTAATATAATTAAGGCGGAATGAACAAAGCATACAAAAGAACTGTTGCGTAAATGAGCAAGAAAACGACAACTTCTAGAAGAAATTAAAAATTTTAATTTAAAATTATGCAAATTTTCAGGAATTAGCAGATATGAGGGCCTCAGGTCTTAGATCCTTTAGAGACATAGAGGTTGACGATCGAAATATCCTTATCTGGTCTGGCTCAATCTGTCCTGTAAGTTAAATATATCAGAATTTCATTAAAATACTCAAATTTCAAAAATCATGACTCATCATGCAGATATTAACATAATTCACGTATGTTTTTCTATTTATAGGATAATCCACCATACAGCAAAGGAGCATTCCGGATTGAAATTATATTTCCTGCCGAGTATCCCTTTAAACCACCCAAAATTGCTTTTAAAACAAAGATTTATCATCCAAATATTGACGAAAAAGGTCAAGTCTGTTTACCAATCATATCCGCCGAGAATTGGAAGCCAGCAACGAAAACTGACCAAGGTAAATATTAGCTTTACGTCAAGGCAAATGACACAACTAGATCCAGTTGTGAAATTCAAAAGATCCAAAACATTCAAGTTGCCTTGAAACTCCAATTACAGCAATTAAATGCTAAACTGTTGTCTCATTAATATTTCAGTCATACAAGCATTAGTAGCACTAGTAAATGAGCCAGAGCCAGAACATCCATTAAGAGCAGAACTAGCAGAAGAATATCTAAAGGATCGTAAAAAGTTTATGAAAAATGCTGAAGAATTTACACGAAAACATAGCGAGAAGCGACATGATTAAAGATATCATGATTTAAATGCTTTTCAATTCAGTTTTTTTTGCTTCATTTGATTTATTTTTAATTTAAGTTTTTTTTTTCTTTGTAAAGGAATGAAAGAAATTGAAGAAGTGTGATGAATAATAAGAAAAAATCTTTTAATTGTAAATCTATCTTTCTAATGAAATCTTCTTGCTCCAACTAACACGCTATTTTAAATCAATAGCATTTCGACAAGAAATGCAAAAGCTATATCGATTGTAGATGTGTTTTGGACGCATTTTTCTGTGGATCTTGTAGTTTAATTAAGCGTAATTCGTGTGTTGTGGAATGGAACAAAGTGAAACTGAGTGATGGTTACGAAATATTTGAATTTCAAAAATAACGGGAAAATTTTATGACCCCCCCCCCCCCCATCTTATAATCCCCATTTCAATAATAGTTATAGTTATAGTTTATTTATTAGGACCAACTGTCCGTTTAAAAAGAATAAGAAGAAGATTACATTAAGCGCATAAAGTGAATAAAAGTATAAAAAGTACAATTCAATAGAAATAATTCAGAAAGAGTAATTCATAGTATTGGGATATGAGACAGAACCATCCTAGAGCAATTCATCCAGTTCTTCAATTTCAGGTGTCGCAATGAGTCCATAATAGTAGGAACCCAATAGATGTTTTTGTGTGATGACCATTTGCGCGTGGAAGTTTTTCGGTAGAATAGCAAGAGAATTCGACGAGAGTCTGGACTTGCCGCATAGTATACCTATCATTTTAATTAGGTTTTGGATGTCGACTTCATTATTTTGCCAGTCAACGATCAGATCAATTCTTCCGTTTCTTAATTTATTGTTGGCTAATTTTAATTTGAGACCCAATATTGATGACAGCTTGATGTCACTGCTCAGTAGCAAATTAATTGTCTTGAGGATTATGAAGCCGAAGGAGATACCAGAAGAAAAAAGTTTGAAGTCATCGAGTTGGATCTCGATGATTGCTGATTTATATTCGATGCTGGTTGGATTGATTAAGGAATTGCGATCCAGGGAAACGACTAGTGGACATAGGCGTAGATGTAAGTAGATGCGTAATGCAGCAAGGTCATCTAGTTCAGGTGCATTTATGAAAGTCGTGTATCTTGCGAGGTGATTTATGATGGATAAGTTTGATTGACTGTCAGTGTCGTCAGCCAGCGGTACATGGTTAAGCATTAGTTTATGTAACCAGTTTATTACGCTGTCAGTAACAATTACTTCGACGAAAATGAGATTGTCCCGTTGGGTGTTAAAGACTACAGTTGTGATTGAGTTAATCGAATTTGACATCAAGAATTTGACTACTTTTTCGCAGGTGAGGCTAGATTTGTGGACTTCAATTGAAAAGAGTAATCTTTTTTTTCCAGTTAGCGATTTAACTTTGTCCGTGTGGACCAGACCCAGCTGGTTTCTCAGTTCCTTCGTTAGTGGACTTATCTTACAGAGATCTTCGTCCTCCAAGTCCGAGAAATCATCAAAATTATTAAGGATCAGCACGTCTTCTTCTGTGTGCATGTTGCCGGAGAGAATAAACTAGGAGGAAATTAGCAAAAAGAAAATAGGTAAACAAAATGAGAATTAGTAAAATTTTAAATTTTTTAGGTCGTTGGATTTTATCAGTTTGTCAACATGACTCAGGTGGAACTTGTTGATTTGTTTTTTAAATAAAATTATGTTAGAGATTTTCTTGGTTTTCTCATCCAGCTGATTATATATTTTAGCTCCAATGATGAATACGTCATGCCGATGAACATCCTTCTTGCATAAAGGCAGTTTAATCAGGGATTTACGTTTAGTGGCACAGAAAGAAGGTACTGGAAGCGCACAATCTTTGAGAGTCATTGATTTCTTGATTGTCATAACTGATGATGTGCTGATAATTCCTAGGACTGGTAGTATATTGGAAGCATAGCATGTAAATAAGTCCAGAGTTCTGGTAAGAATTGGTAAGTTGTATATGATTTTGAGAGCTCTGCTTTGTGTCCTCTGTAGTCTTAGCAACGAGCTGGTGGAGATGCGCATTAGGATGAAGGAACAGTACGAGATGTGGCTGTGAAAATGTCCAAAGTAGAAGTTCAGTAGCAATTTTTGTGCAATTCCATTTCTTTTTAAAATTCTCAGCGCATTAATAGCTTTTGTCAGCGTTACGAAGAGATTGTTAACATGCGCCTCAAATGAGAAGTGGACTTAGTGACAAAAATCAATTGATTAAATGATCAAAGAGTTTAAAGCAAGCTACCGTCTTAAGAAACGTGAACAGAACAAAATGAATGCTTATGAATAATGCAGTATGACTCAAACAAGAAATGAGAAATGTAAATTGCTGATTGATTGACAAACTTTGTGTATAGAACATGTGACGAATAAAAAATAAGTCAAGTATCCCTACTACACTATGGATATAGTCATGGCTCTTTTGTTTGTATCTATATATGAACAAATTGTGTTTAGTCTAGGAGTAATGAACAAGTATTGCATGCTAGACTTTACTAATTGTGAGATCTAGTCATAGATAATAGTTTGTCATCAATTAAGCTAGTGTTCGAGACAGAATTAGAGGGGATTTAATTGCTCGCCGTGAGAAATCATTGATTAGATTTTATGGGAACCAAAGATTGCAACATGACGTGATAAAAGTTGAAAAGTTTAAGGATGGGACATAAAGATTAGATTACAAATCTGTGAATCAGTTGAAAACTAAAGAACTTAAAAATAATGTATTTCGAATCGGTTGCTTGTAAACCTAAGGCAAATTTACTCAAATACATTTATATGACAAGAATATAGCCTTAGAGTACACCAAGAAACTGATGAAAAAGTAGGACGTAATCAGCTAGCATTTAGGTAAAATACATTGAATTAAGCACTAATGAACATCACACTAACGATTGCACAAGGAATGTATGGCTTAAAAATATTTTATTGACACTTTAAGTTCATTAACTTAAAGATCTTATTTTGCTTCTAATGGAACATGATCAAATAGTTATACTTCCTGCCTAGTAGCACTGTTTACCCTAATATCATGTATACATGACGTGACAAAACAATGAATTTAAATTACAACTCGAATTTTTTAACTTTAAACATCACAAATGTGTCATCAAGATCATGATTCCATCATGGTGGGGGGGGTGGTTAAACTTCCATTGAAAAATGCGCTCAAAGAGATAAAATCAATCGTTTTAATCGCATGTACCACAAAAATTTTATTCGAACTGGAAGAAAGGTAGACACAAGAATCTAATTAAAATGTATTTTTAAACTAGTGAAAAATTGTGATTTTAAGAAAAGGATTTTCATCATAAAAAAAAAGAAGTTTTTCATTTTTACTGTCTATGATAAAAACCATCGTACTGCATATTATGAATATTATAATCCTTAAATATCGCCCCTTCTGCCTTTTTATCCTCCTTCAAGAAGAGAATTATTGTCGATCAAAGAAAGTTATTTGTCCTTCTTTTCTAATAGAGAATTAATAAAATTTACTGAAATAAAAAATCAACTTTAAAAAATCAGATTTTTAATTTTGTAAATTTTTCATCAATTTTTTTATTCCTTCTTTTCTTTTACAGAAACTCAATCGCATGCAGCAATGATTAAGTAACTATAGCTAATGAAATTATTATGTTTTTGTCATTATTGCAGCATATATGCAGTTTTTAATTTCGTGTATATCATTTAATTAAGCGTTTTTAAGACTATTGAAAAAGAAATTCTTGTTTATTATTTGTTGGAGATTCTGGAGATGGAAGCTGGTATGTGGTTCGATTTTGAGATTTATATAATAACGATCAAAAATTGTTCAAATTTGTCTAGCTGTTGTGTGGTTTTAGAACATTTAAATCTCAAAAATCTGTCAAAAATTTGAATTCTAGTGCAATTTTAGCTGTTGTATGGTTTTGAAATTTGAATACAATTTGACTTCAATTCAACCTTCAATTACAGTCCCACAGTTGAGCTTAATCAATAACTAATATCGCAGGACGTTAAGCAAAAACATTAATTGAGCTCGTTTTTCTTTTTTTTTAATTAATTCATTAATATTATGAATGAAATATAAACATAGAATAGACAATATAGATTATATAGAGGCAAGAGAGCCGTTAAATTCCAAATATATACTTTTTTCAATTTAATAATTAGAATACTTTTTTTTTAATAATTTCGAGTACAATTTTGAGTATCATCTTTAAGAGAAATTAAAGGTAATTAAGTGTCATTATTAAAAATATCTGAATTTTCTTTTTCCACGGTACAATTTTCCCATTTTTAAAGTGTTTGCAAGAGGTGCTTTCGGCTGGCAGGCAAGAAAGAGACTTTTTTGTATTGAATGTGATTTTTAAAGTTGATAAAGTGAAAAAAATTTGAAGAGTTTTAGTGTTTTTTGTATGAATTTAACTTTTACTATAAACCGGTCATGAATATTTCAAATTTGAGAAACTGTTGTAAGCTTTTATACGATTTTCACTTTTAGCTGTTGTAAGGTTTCAAAAATTCAAAATTAAAACGACAGTTAAAGATCAAATCTTTAATTTCCGTTAAATTTTCTACAAAATATTCTCAAAACCCTTCAAATTCTTTTGTAAAATAATTTGCTGTTGTAGTGTTTTAAAAAAGACGAAAAATATTTTAAATTTAAATCTATTTAAATTCTTTCGTGTTTAATTTGTAGGGAAAATTTGTACACAATTACATTCATTTATAGCCACCTGATGACTTTTACATAAAACTATGTAAAATTTGTTAAAAAAAAATCATTAGAAATTTGAGGGTTAGACTTTTTCTCATTAAATTCTTCAAAGCGATCTAACAGAATGGTTGATAATGGAATGATGAGGTTCATCTGATGTAAAAATCATCTATTACAATTTTTCTTTTCGTGTAACAATTATTATAGGGATTCATTTTCTCATTTTTTAAAACGATTAAATTCATTTACCAATTTTTTTTTTTTTGTCAAAATAGAGAATTAAAATTAATTAAAGATTTGCTTGTTTCACTCAATTATAAGAATTTAGAAATTATCACAGACTCGATTTGTTTCTCACATGTATAGTTAGTCATGGGGGTGTATCCAATAAAATTCATAGGGTTTAAATCTAAAGATTGAAAATCTACGGTCAAAAATAATTTAAAATTCTAAAACTTTTTGGCTGTTGTATGGTTTTAGACGATTATCAAAATTTATTTTGCCGTTAAACATTCAAATTTTGATTTTTTTCCGTTAAAATTTTCCTACAAAACTATCAAGATACACCGCCATAGATTCATTTAAATAATTCACGTGTTTCCATTAACGGTTGGTTTTTTATGAATTGATTCAGTTGCAGTAGTATTATTACTAGGCATGTCCTTTTTAACACGTAGTCTATTATCCCTAATTTTTTGTTTACGTCTCGCCCTCCACGAATCTCTAATACGATCACCGTTTGGTGTGAAATCTTTCGCAAGATGTGGCGATAAGGTACGAGAAATAATCATTTCAGGCACTTCTTTAGCATCTTTTTCAGGAGATGAATCCGTACAATCAACACTAGTGACAACGGGTGGGGGCGTTGGTGATTCTATGGTAAATTTTATTGGCTGCTGCTGTGTCTCGAGAGCTTTAAATTCAGTAACAGATGAATTTGGAGAATTATGGACAGAATAGTCACCATTAAAAGTATAAATTTCATTTATGAGATCTGACGGCAGTTGACTGTGAAACGTACCCAAAATGGCACAATGAACGGTGATTCGATCAAACCATTCTTGTAGTAAGTTAAATGACGGACGTTTATCAGGATTAAGATCACAGCAGAGAAAAGCAATACGATAAAATATCTCTGGACAGTGATCGTTTGGATGCATGCAGAACATTTCAATAAATTGCTGCTTATTCAGTCCAAAATTGTCTGTTCGAGGCATAAAATCAGGATCTGCTGATGCACGCGAAATGATCTCACACATAATAATTCCAAATGAGAAAAGATCAACTTTTTCATCATACTTATTACCTTTCAACATTTCCGGTGCCATATACCATGGAGTTCCAACGACTGTATATCTTTTTCTTCTCACATGCTGACTCTTTCGATTTATTACAGTTCCAGTACTGTCTGATGTTTTACATAACTTTGATAATCCAAAATCAGCGACCACAACTGTCCGATCTTTACCGACATCACGTACTAGACAATTGCCTGAGTTTAAATCGCGATGAATAATGTTCATGGAATGTAAATAACTCATTCCTTTACTTATATCACATGCGAAATGAATTTTATCTGACCACGATAATTTAACACTTGATTGTAGTAATGAACCTAAAGCACCGCCATTGACATATTCAGTAATTAAATGTAATTTCTTCTCTTTATACAGCACACCAATGAATCTTAATACATTTCGATGATGTAATGAACGAAGGACAGCGACTTCCTTTAAAAAATTCCTCTGAGCATCTTCATCGACCCATTTATAGAGTTCCTTAAGTACCATAACTTCCTTAGTTTCTTTATGTGTCACACGATACACTTGACCAAAGAATCCACGACCTAGCATTTCACCTATAACTAAATCTGAGGCACGAAATATTCTTTGAGTATTATATCCATTCTGTGGCTCTACTCTAAAACTTTTCGTACGTGAGAGATCATACATTTGATTCGGTCCATCTGTTGTGTTAACATTACCACCAAGTAATAATTTTGACATGCTACTACTTCTCTCTTTGCCATCTCGCAATGAATTTGATGATTGTTCACAATTGTATTTTGTTGGCTGCTTACTATTATTATTATTATTATTACTATTACTATTATTCTTTTGATTAGGCTGTTTTTGATTCCTTATTAATTTATGCATTTTCTTTGGCGTGCCGCTCATATATCCTTCATCCATACGTATTGCTATTTTTGCTTTATCTAATTTAGGTACTGGCGGTAACATCATCATTGCTGGATATTCAGCCGTTGCAGGACATATTGATGTTGATGATCCATTTCGACTGACTGTCTGTGTCGATAAAAATTCTAATTCACCCGAGATTGGATTTCGTCTTGTTATTGTATTAGGCTCATGTTCGATTGTTAATTGTAGCACTCGATCTGTGTCGTCAATTATTTTTTGAAGATCCTTTAAAGAGCTTGACTTTTCGACCGAATGTCCATTAATATCAATGATTCTATCGCCAATATGTAGGGCCATCAAATCTGGGTTTTCGTCAAGCCTAGAAGAATTGGAAATCTTGTTATAATATAGCGGTTTTTTAAAATTCAAATAATAACGTTAATTTAAAATTCAAAAAAATTTGAACTGAACTGAAATGAAGTGTAAACTTTCCTGAACGAAAAATTGAATTTTTAAAACTCAAAAAATACGTTAAAATGGAAATTGTTAATATTATGTACCTAGAGCTCCCACCATTACCACAACAGAAATCAATCAATGTAGGATCAAGCATGGAACAAAAATATTTTCCCCATCGTCCATAGAATGAGCAAAACAGACTGATTTGCATAAACACAGAGAGAAAAGTGATTTCATCGAGAATATATTTTGTTAGTAAATTAAGTATAGAGAAAATAAGAGAAAATTAACTCACTCAGATATCCTAACGCCACGACATCGAGTCGATTTATTCGAGTTATGTCCACTTGATGTTTCCTCATCGACTGAGATACGAATGGAATTTTTATTATCACTTTTCCATGGTATTTCAACTAATCTAATTGAATGTGGTGGCTTCTTGATGATTGTGACTTTAGCTGTCGGTTCTGTTGGAAACTTGTGTTGTATTTGACTCGATGGCATTTGTCGACGATAACATGAGCCACAGAACAAGTTCGTACGATCAATCAAGGCATACGAATCGCCATCACCAATAACACTTTTACAAATTTTACAACAAAAACATTCAGGATGAAAACGATGATCACCAGATATCATAATCGGCCCACTCACTAATTCACCACATTCTTGACAGCATGCACCAAATTTCTGCCAGTAATCATCTTTACAGAAAAGCAATCCATCCTTTTCAAAATAAAAATTCGTGTTCCACATTTCACGGTCGCATACTGAACAGCTGCATTGACGTTATATGAAAAAGAGAGTAAATAAGAGATATTAATGCACTGCATGAATAAAGCGGTAAAAAGGCAATCACATTAAGCTATAAAGCAAGTAAGAAGAAAATGTACACAGAACAGTTCGAAAAATTTACAGATACTCACCGAAAGCAATCAATATGGTAATTCTGGCCGAGAGCTGTAATAAATTCCTCATTGTCTAATCCATTTAAACACGATGCGCACGAAATATCGTCTTCCTTAGTCTCATCTACAACACAAAACATACAAAAAATAAAAATGATATTACGTGAAAATTATAATCATGAATGAAAATTCAAAATATGCAGTTGTCGAAATCCAATTCACGGCTATTCTATTTTCGTTATGCCCTTCATTCGTTAAAATTACATTTCTCATGCACTATATAATGAAAATCGATAAAAAGTTCAATATTATGTCACTAGTCGATGCGTATTTCACGAAATTTCTTCACAAAACTAGTCCAAAAAATATTTTTCAATTAATTTAAACACTATATGGATAAAGATTATGACTAGAAAGCATCCAGTGACAATTTTGATGGAACATCCCAAAGTAAAGACAACAAAAAAATCAATTTGATTGAACTACGTAAAAACATGTTAACAATTTTCAATTTTTCATCACTTTTACTCATTTTCCGTGCTGCACTTTATGTTACTCCGATAGCCCTCAATTTAAATTATAGTATCGATTACTTTTTTGGTCTACAAACCTGTATCTTTACTTAAAATATCCATATTTTATTCACAATAACAAAAAAGACATCTTTTACTTCAAAATTTATAAATTACTCATTCAATAAAAATATTTCAAATTTTAAAAAGACGTTATTTTTTTGACATTATAAAACTTATTTTATTTTATTCATTCAAATATTTTTCAAGCAGTTCCTTTTTCTTCTTTCTCAGCAGTGCTTCCTCGATGTCTTTTTGTGTTGGAACTTCCACATGTGAGACAAATCGTGGTGCTAGTAGCTCATCATCTATTGTTATGGGCTCAAATGTTTCAGTTTCTTCGTCATTTGTATTTAATTCTCCCTTTTTGAGCTTCTCTTTCCACTCATCCATAGCCTTTTTCATTGCTTCCTTTGAGGATTTCTCTTCTAATGGAATTAAAACACCGTCATCATCATCTAAATAGCCATAATAATTGGCATCAACTTCACGCATCAATTCTCCTCTGGATTTTTTAGGTGGAGGTGGTGGTTCCTGCTCAAATAACTCTCGAACGCCTGGAAGGTCTTTAGCTGCTCCAAAATATTTGTATCTAAATTGGATTAATATGATTTTTATCAGATCCAGTTAAGATTTACTGGATGTTTTGAATAACATCTAGATTGAGCTTTAAGGCTTACCCTCTGTTTCCTGGAACTTCCCTTCCTTCTGCATCAAACGTTTTCGGACCATATCGTCTATAAAATAATCATTAATGTATAATCCAAAAAGTATAATAATAATGCAAACCTATAATGCGGACCGCCCAAATTTGATATCTGGTTCTCCCAATGCCGTTTCTCTCTTAGTAGCTTATTTATCTCATCATTCAAGTCACGTATCCTGAATTCTCCTAAACCAGCATTCTGAATCTGTGCTACTTTCTTAGATATTTCTCTAATTATCTCGATTCTCCATTTTTCACATTTCTTGACATCTGTGCATTCGCTTGCTAAATAAGGACGTCTTTCATTCTTCCCTGTCTCTGCTTCCTTTGCTGCTCTCCATCGAGCCAACGTTGTCATTGCCTTCTCAGCATTTCTAGCCATTTTTAATTATTTATTTTAAGCAGCTTCAAACGATTTGATGACACAGAAATTGTAAACAAAATATTAGACGAGAATAATTTGAATTTTAAATGACAGTTGGAGTTGAATTAGACGACTTTGGATAAAATTTCAAAATCAAAACCAAATCAAATTTTAAATTATTTACTTTTTATCTGGCAATTTTATGAAAAGACATGCTTTAGCTCACATTTCTTTATATAACTTAAATTCTAAACAAGACGAAATTAATGAAAATATAGAAAATATTGTGTCTTAATTAATAATTATGTGAATTGATGGATTTTTGGAAGAAAGCCGTTGAATTAAGATCCACACATCAAGCACTCATCCTTATTTTCTAACGAGCAGACCATTTCAGCTAAATGAATTTCACGTTCTGTAGTTGAAGTTTCGTGATCTCCATTCAAAGTAATATTGTTAACAGAGCTATTTAATGATGTATTCTTTTTGGGAGAAGTTCCACTTTTGGCATGTCCATTTTCCTGAACAGCTAAGCGTGCTTTATCAACAGTAAATTGAATAGCATTCGCAGCAGCTTTTGTTCTTAAGTAATACATTCCAGTTTTAAGTCCCAACTTCCATCCATAAAAATGAATAGATGTCAATTTCCCATAATTTGGTTCCGCTACATGAATATTGAATGATTGACTTTGATCGATAAAAGCTCCACGATCAGCTGCCATTTGAATTTGTGTCTTGACAGATATTTCCCATACTGTTTTATAAATGTTTTTAATATCATCAGGAATTTCATCAATAGCTTGTATTGAGCCATTATTTCCAATAATTTGATTCTTCATATCATCATCCCATAAACCACGTTCTGTCAAATCCTTAATAAGATGATGATTAACAACTTGAAACTCTCCACTAAGCACACGACGATTATAAACATTACTTGTGTATGGTTCAAAGCTCTCATTATTACCTAAAATCTGAGCTGTTGATGCAGTTGGCATTGGTGCTAATAACAATGAATTACGAAGACCAAAATTCTTGATTTTTTCTTTTAATGCTTCCCAATCCCACAAGTCAGTTGGTGTCTTTTCCCACATATCATATTGTAATATACCTTTTGATACTGGGCATCCTTCATACGTCTCATAAGTTCCAAGTTTTTCAGCCAATTCACAGCTCGACTCTAAAGCTCCATAATAAATTGTCTCAAATATTTGTTGATTTAATAATTTAGCTTCATCAGACTCGTATGGCATTCTCATCAATATAAAGGCATCAGCTAATCCTTGAATTCCAATTCCGATTGGACGATGTCTAAAGTTTGATCGTTTAGCTTCTTCAACTGGATAGAAATTAACTTCAATAATTTTATTTAAATTTCTTGTGACTATCTTTGTGACTTCCTTCAATTTATGGAAATCATATTCTTTACGATTTGGCTTGACAAACATATTTAAGGCAATTGATGCTAAATTACAGACAGCAACTTCATCTTTACTTGAATATTGGACAATTTCAGTACATAAATTTGAGCAACGGATTGTTCCAAGATTCTGTTGATTCGATTTACGATTACATGCATCCTTATACAGCATATAAGGTGTTCCTGTCTCAACTTGAGATTCAATAATTGCAAACCATAAATCTTGTGCCTTTACTTGACGAATAAATCGTCCTTCTGCTTCATATCGAATATATAGATTTTCAAATTCTTTACCATAAGTCTCATAAAGACCTGGACAGCTATGAGGACACATTAAAGACCACATTTCATTGTTTTCAACACGTTGCATAAACAAGTCAGGAATCCATAAAGCATAAAACATATCTCTAGCACGAACTTCTTCTTTTCCAGTATTTTTCTTTAAATCTAGAAACTCAAAAACATCTCCATGCCAAGGTTCCAAATAGACTGCAAATGCACCAGGACGTTTATTACCACCTTGATCAACATAACGTGCTGTATTATTGTAAACTCTCAACATAGGTACGAGACCATTCGAAATCCCATTTGTACCAGCTATATATGTCCCTTTTGAACGAATACAATGAACATTAACGCCAATTCCACCTGCTGATTTGCTAATTAGCGCGCATTGCTTTAAAGTGTCATAAATTCCCTCGATTGAGTCATCAGACATTGAGAGAAGAAAGCATGAAGACAATTGAGGACGTGGTGTAGCTGCTGCGAAAAGTGTTGGTGATGCATGTGTGAAGAATCTATTGAAAGTAAATAATTTCATAATAATGCGAAACTTATAAATCTTGGTTCCTATGTATTACCTTTCAGACAACAGATTGTATGTCTCAATAGCTGCATCAATATCCTCTCCATGAATACCAACAGAAACTCTCATAAGCATATGTTGTGGACGTTCTGCAATTTTTCCCTTGATCTTTAACAGATAGCTTCGTTCTAAGGTTTTAAAGCCAAAATAGTTGTATCCGAAATCTCGATCATAGATTATAGCTGAATTAAGTCGATCGGCATTTTTCATAATGATCTTATGATGGAATTCGCTAATCATTGGGGACTTAGTCTTTAGATATTCATTTTCCATATTATAAAGATCATCCATGACTTCACTAAACTGTTTCTTAGTCTCTTTGTGAAGGTTAGAAATGGCAATTCTTGCAGCTAAAACAGCATAATCTGCATGATCTGTAGTCATCGTTGCTGCTGTTTCAGCTGCTAAATTATCCAGTTCCTGTGTTGTTACTCCTGTATACAACCCATTGATTACTTTAAAGGTGATCGAAACCTTTTGTGGATTTAAGTGTGGAATTTAGGATATTTAAAGTAGTTTAAAGATTTAGAATACTTACAGGATCCACAAAGTCCATATTAAGACCATAGCAAAGCTTCTGGATTCTCGACGTAATTTTATCGAAATGAACTTCTTCACGACGTCCATCTAAGTAAAATAGAAATGGATTTATAGCTTAATATACTCAATATTAGGACTTTATTTCATCACTTACCTCGTTTAATGACAAACATTTTGCTCTTAACCATCTTTAAATATTAATTATACTTCTTATTTCTTGTAAATTAGTTAAAATGATTGGAAACACAGCTATTGACAGAACTGGATCTTGATACAGAAAGGCGGGAAAATGTTTGATCAAAATTAAGTGCGAAATTCAAATTTTAAATGGCAGTTCTCGTTTTATTTCAATTTCAAAATTTGCGCAAAAATGAACGTTGAGGCTTTCCGTGAGAATTTAGAACTTATGAGCTACAGTGGCTTCAAATTGAAGGAGCTGGAAGCAGATTTGATAGAAAATTCTCTAATAATCCTGCAAAGTTCGAATAAACTGCAAAATATCTTCTTTTTTGGACGAATTGAGACAACTTCTGAGGAAAACAGCTATTACTACATAGCTTTTGGATATACATGCGACATTTTTAAGGACCAAAAGTTTTTCTACAGTCTCAATGGCTTTGAATGGGTAATGATGCCTGAAATGAAACCCAAATTGCTGCCAATTACTCTCCAATCTCGTTCATTATTAACTGGCGATCCTATTAATGTTGAGCATGTCTGCATGGTATGTCCATAAAAGATTGAAATGCTTAGGTATAGAAAATAATTTATTTAATAAACTTTTAGATGCCAACATTCATTGCTGACACTGAAAATGTGTTTCGTGCATGTCCAAAAAAGCCAAAGAAGCTCAAAGAAGAAGACAGACTCGCTTGCATCGTTCATCTATTAATGACAGAATCAGCAATCATGCCTCGAAGCTTATTATATCGACAAGTCACTCGATGTATTTCTTACAACCCATCTTTTGCAGGATTAAATCGAATGGAAGCAAATGAAATGAAGAATTTTCAGCTATTTCGGTACCCAAAAAATAATCGAAACTATAACTTATCGAAGCATGATGATTTTAACTATCAAACAGACTTTTTCGATACGATAGACGATTTAGTGCCACGAAACTGCTTCTCATTTCAAATTAAAGACCGAGATATCTGCCTTATTCGAGCTTTACATTGGCCAGGAATGATATTTGTACATAAATTAAACACTAAATATCAAGGATTTTTCTATTTTGGGAATGGCAGAAAGAATTTAGATCTGTTATTTATGACATGACTGACTGGATATTTTGCTGAGTAAATAAATATACAATTAATTCAATTAACAATGTCTTTAGTCATTCTTCTTGACTTCAGTCTCCTTTATATGTGGATTTTCTACTTTTGTGTCTCCTGATCCGTCTTCTGCTGGTTTTCTCATAAATGTACATACTCCATTCTCGCACTTTTTAATGAATTCAGGCTCTAGAAGATTTTTGATTAATTAACATTTTGGTTCACTGGATGTTCTTTATTTGAGTTCTTACCATTTTCAATGACTTTTCCTGTTTCATCCTTCTTCTGCCATGGATTCCAAATGTACTTAATAAAGTATGGCTGGATCAACCATCTAGAATGATGTGGAATCATGTAATTTTCGTTAAAATCATGTAAATTTGTATGTTCATTATTATAATTCGATGTCATTACCTCCAGAAGAAAAGAACTACTGGAACTATAAAACACGGTATGCAGACCATTGTAGAAAGTTAAATTAATTTAATAAGAATTAAAGTTGATTTGTTTATTAAATATTCTATTTTTTGATAATGATTTAGACGAATTATGTGATATTCGACGATTCTTTATATAGAAAGTCAGTCAAGTTGTGAAGAATGACTGAATATTGGAGCGCAGCTAAAGAAAATCATGGGAAAATTCAATAAGAATGTGTGAAAATCAGTAAAATTCAATAAGAATCTGTGAAAATCAGTAAATCTCAGAATCTGTGTGTTTGAAAACCATACAACATCTTAAATAGAACATTCATATGGTTTTAAAGTAATTTCAACTGTTGAAGGGTTTTTAAAACATTTGTAGGGGTCTAAAATTTTCAAAATTTATAATTGAACGGATTTTCAGCATTTTTATCGGAAATTTTTCAGGCATGTATAATCACATTCATACCAGACAAACTGACGCGAAACACCAACATTATCTTGCTTTTAGAAGTGTTCAATAACATAAAAATAATAAGTCGACATATACGTTTTATTTTGATAATTCAAAGTAAAGTCATTAAAGCTTAACAGTTGTACTATAATATAATAAACTTTAATACTTAGCATAAGATTATCGCCATAAGTCAAACAAAATCACAAAATGGAAGCAAAACGAATGAGATTCAATGAAAGTGTTTTACCTAACATGCATCAAATTGCTCAAATTCCATCCCCCATCGAGTTCAAAATCTGGCAGAATCGACAAATTGAGGAGTGTATTGATGACAATTTTATAAATTCGTAAGATTCAAAATACATAATTTAATTCAAATAGCTTCGTAGAAAGTAAAAAGATTTCACTTTCCATTGACGTCATAGATTTTTGGAATCGACAAGAGAACAAATAACTCAGAGACAAGTTAATCAAGGCCATATGCAGCACAGACGATTAGAAGATCAAGCAATAAATCAAGCAATTAACACAATTGGCTTAAAAAAGCCATCACTGCTGGATGAAGAAGAAGAAGATGAAAGCTCGACAGACAGTTTTGAGAATATTTTACCTTCATCACACTTAAATCTTAGTCAGAATAGCTCACTCGAAGAATTTGCTATAGATTCCGCTATAAGGAGTTATGGATTGCACAAGAAAAGTATTTAGGATTAGATTTTAAAGCTTTTTACTCATAAACTTTTGTCTTAATTCGTGTTTGTATTATGTACATTAAAAATTTTATGTATAAATTTTTTTTTTGTTTTTTCTAAGAAAAGGTTGTGACTTTAAGATTCATTTAGTGACTCTTTTGGAATTTTTAGGTGATCAACAGGATTTTCTATGATGGATATTTACGAATTGGTCATTGAAATTGGCAGTTATCGTTAAGAAGATGTCAAATTTATGATTTTAGGATTTCTTTCAACTTCTCAGAATATACATTAAGTTTAAATCCTAGGATTTGAAATTTAATCTTTGGATTAAAAACAAATTTTGTATTGTAGACATTACTTACCTGATTTCTATCCAAAGCTTTGTCAAATCTATGAATAACAAGCCTCCCTAACCATTAGATCTGTCATCACTTTCCTTCCTTTCCTGCTGTCTTACTAAATCATAGTAAAGTCCTTTCTTCTTCATTAATTCATCATGTGTGCCTTTTTCCTTAATCCTTCCATTATCAATAAGAACAATCAAGTCAGCATTCTTAATTGTAGACAATCTATGAGCAATAATAAGTGTCGTGCGATTAACAATGGCACAATCGAGAGCTTTTTGGACTTCAGCTTCACTATTGGAGTCAAGTGCGGATGTAGCTTCATCGAGAATCAATACGATTGGTTCTTTAATCAATGCACGAGCGATTGACACTCTTTGTCGCTGTCCACCTGATAATTGAGCTCCTCTTTCCCCAACTTGTGTTGCATATTTGTCAGGAAGTCTCTCAATAAAGTCATGTGACTGTGACTTTTTAGATACTTCAATAATTTCATCAACTGTTGCATTTTCACGTCCATAACGGATGTTGTCTAATATTGAGCATGCAAATAGTATTGGCTGCTGATCAATATATCCAATAACATCATTTCTTAGCCATAAAGGGGATAATTCATTTAATTTGATATCATCTAAATAAATTGCACCACTGGACGGTTCATAAAATCTTTCTAATAGTTGAGCAACTGTACTTTTACCAGATCCAGACATGCCAACTAATGCCACTGTTTGTCCTGATTTTAATGTTAAACTAAAGTCTTTTAATACAACTTGATCTGGACGTGATGGATATGAAAAGTTGACATTTTCAAAACGAACTTCACCTTTCAAGTCATTATCATCGATAACTCTGCCTGAAATTAAGTCAATTTTAGGCTCAACAATCATGTATTCAAAGACTCGTGCGCCTGCTGTTAATCCACGAATCACATTTCCCATTAAAATGGATCCTTGAGCTAGTGAACGTTGAATATTCTGTGATGCAACTAGAAAAGCCATCAATTCACCGGCAGAAATTGAGTTGGTACTCATTAAATGTCCACCAAAGTATAAAGTTCCCAAAACCATGCAATTAAGGAACATGTTTGTCAAAGATTGAAACATGGCAATTCCAATACCAAGATGCTGAGATAAATTCTTTGATTCCTCGACTTCTTGTTCGAAAAACATTAATTCAATATGCTCTGCTGCACATGACTTGACTGTACGAATATTACCTAAAGCTTCAGCACAGACACTTGTTGCCTTTTCATTTTGAGCTTGTGACTTTTTGCTTAATTCTCTCAATTTTCTTCCTAATAATGATCCAATAAGAATTGCAGATGGAATTGACACTAAAGCTATACATGCAAGTTGACTTGATATCAAAAATAAACTTATGGAACCACCAATAAGCTGTGCTACCGAACGCAATCCTTGTGATATTGTTTGCTTGAAACTTGATTTAAAGTCCTGAACGTCTGTTGATATTCTATTGACGAGTTCGCCACTTCTGTTCTTGTCAAAAAAATCAATGTCCTGCATTAAAATGTTTTGAAACAAGTCTCGTCTTATCTCCATTGCCATTTGTTCTCCAATGTTTGACAGTAAGTAGATGTAGATGAATGTAAAGGCGGATTGTGCCAGATATGAAGAAATGAGCTTGAATGCTGGATCTGTTGCATCCTAGAATTCAGTTTTAGATATCATTAAGTACATTATGATTCAGTCAAGCTGGATATAGGCAAATGGTACTTACATTAAGAAAATCCTTGGCAGTTCCATGAATATCTCCAGCATATTTAGACAAAGTGTTGATTAACTGACCCAACAATGAAGGAATACTAATATTTAGATAGGCGACAGCCAGAGCAGCAGCAATAGCACCCAGTAGCTTAATGATATGCTTTGATAAGTAGCTCCAAAACAACTTCCATTCAAATTTAATTTCTTTATTGATTCTTAGCTCAGCAACTCTCGATTCACATTTTACAACAGACAATTTATTTTTAATTAAAACAGAAGTACCGAGAAAACCAAGTGCGAAGGTCAAACGTGGTATTTTAGACTTCCGATTTTTTATAAATAAATTTTCTTTAATGCTATTTTTTGAGTATTTAAAAATATCTTTTAAACTTTCACGAACAATTGCTGGATTTTTAAAAATACTCGATGATTTTAGGTGCTGGAATGCTATATTACTTGTCACTAATCTTATTAACATTTTAAAATATGTTTAAATAGCTTAAATTACTTAATTTAAATCAAACTTTTTGTTTTGTTTTGATTTTCAATTTAGTCGAATCACGAAAATGTCTAAAAGCCATTGAAAACTTGATATACACACACACACTGATTGCTGAATATAGATAGTTTTGGTAGTGATGGGGTTGTAGGAAACCTTTTGAATTGATGAAAGTGGTTAATTATAGTAGAAATTAATTGTTTTTATTTCTTTGGTCTAAAACCTTACAAATCCTTTTAAATTTAAATTCCAAATTACCGTTATAAATTCAAAAACTCCGTTGAATAAACTTGAACACGTGCCATCGATTTTATAGCGAAATTGAGATTTTTGGATCATTTGAGTCATTTCTACTGATGAGCTTGGTAAATTGAATCCTGTTGACTATAAATAAGTGGAAGAGAATCAATAAAACACAAAACAATCTCCACTTAAAACATTTATTAAATTTTATTTCATCAAAATTAGCTTTCAGAAAGCTCACATCATTTTTGCAGAAACTTTTATTTCATGTATTTTTGGTAATCACAAACAACTTTGCGTAAATCTACAATTTCTATGAAATAATAATACAGTTAAATAATACATGAATCGTGCAAAATCATTGCAAATAATACAGATTTACTTCTCTAAATTAATTTGTAACATAAATCAACAATGAGACTCATTATTTAAAAATAAGTTCAATTTTTGTTTGGAGGCAAAACCACACTTGAGTCAATTAAATGGGCGGAATTAAGTACTATTTCTGTATCTACGTTTTGTAAGTTCCAGAATTATTTTTTTTATCTCTTGTTTCTTAATTATCTTTATGTTTTTTAAAAACATTATCTTCACATAAGTGATGAACACATTGATAGAACTTAGTAGCAGATATGAAAACTTTCATCATTTATGCTGTTTAGGTATTATTTTTTGATTCAACTATAAGCCTGCAATATTTTTTTTATCTATTAACTTGTTTGTATCGCTATGTCGTTATATGTATGTACTTAAAATTCTTGTAATTTTTGGGAGGACGAGGTTGATTGAGGTGTGCTGGAATTTAATTCAGTTATTCACCCTGCATTATTTGAGTTAATAATGGGGTAGTCTCTGATTTATGCTGCATATCATTTACTGTGTTTTGACAGGAAATGTCGGGTGGAGCAGACGAAGCTCATTGTGTTTATATTTAGAATTTTATGGGGTGTAATTTAAGACTTTTATGGCTTGTACAAATTTTATTGCTTCAAAAAACATTTATACGGTTCCAGTTCATTTCGACTGTAATTTGTAGGGTTTTGAAGCTTTGAAAAAAACATTTGTACGGTCTTGAAGCTTAAAATTATAAAATTTAAAATCCTTTAAAACCGTTAAATTCAAATTTTTTAATTAAAATACTTTTAAAGCTATAAGCTCGCCAAATTTGCTCATTTCTCATCGATAATGAAGAAATCTATCAATTTTCCAGACAAAACATCCTCAATCAAGTCGCCTCCCTCTTAAATCTCTTTAATTTAATACTATTTTTTGCTTTTTTCAAACGTAATAATCGATTTTTGTGTATTTTTGAAACTTTGTCCTTTGCTCTTTATATTTTATATTATTTTAATAAATTTTAGGAGTCACTAATGAAAAAATTCCTCAGAAATCAAACATAAAAAGCTCAAATTTAATTAAAAAACTTTTCTTCTGTAAATTCTTTGTTTCTCTGTTCTTTTAATTATTTAAGGGAAAGCCAATCATTCTAAATGATATATTTTTTTCTTATGTCTCTTTAGAGATAATCGTGTATCCTTATAAGAAGGAGATTAAAAACAATTACAGCTAACGACATTTAAGGCTTTTACTTATTTAAGTTTTGCACAAATAAATTGAAATTGTTTAAAAATTGGAAAAAAGGAATTTGCAATCACATTTATTTTTTTTTGTTCTTTTAGTTTCATTCTTTGGTACGAAAATAGAAAAATTGGAAGAGGAAAGGGGGTTGTTTTAATTTAAAAGTGAAAATGTATAATAGAAAGGATTACATGACAATGCACTCACACTCAAAAAGTGCAAATTAAGTTTAAAGGAACTTGCTCAATAACGTTTTTTGGGCGCATTTTTGCTGAATTTATTTTAATGGGGCTTCAAGTGATCTCTAATAACTCACTAGATGCTCAGATGACAGTTGACAATTGGCTGTATGACAGTTAATCATACTAGTTGCCAAGATAAAATGCTGACTAACTTTACAGTCAATCTAATTCAGTCAATTGAATATCAAATTAATAAAATTTGGCCATACAATAAGTCAAAGCCAGAGAGTCAACTGTTTTTCTCTTTTTTAAGCTGCACTGCAATTGTCCAATTTCATAAAATAGCTTTGTTGTATCAATTTTCAATCAATTTTTAGAATAAGCTTCGATATATCCAAAAGAGTTTGAATTTGAGAGCTCTGAGAAATGTCTCTGGTTGTGCTGCACGTGCATGATTTGTATAATTAAAGCGATTTTTGTTCATAAATCTGTTCAGTAATACTTCATTTCATTTCAGTTCATTTGAATTTCAAGAAGCCGTTAAATAATTAATTCAGCAAAAATGCACCACAGTCATCGACAATCGATGATATCTAATTTTCAACACGTTTCATCTTATAATAGTAATAATGCTCAATAGAGGAATGATAAAAGATATTTTTCCATTTCATCAGACAGCAATTGACGCTTGATACGATTTAACCATTGTAAGAATAGTCAGCTTTGTTGTGCAAAACAAGTTTATTATCAACAAAATAGAATGAGTCACTCCTCGTTTCAAATGGATTCGCAATCATTTGGTCAATAAGATCTTGCGGTAATTTTGGAAATTCGTAAATGTGTTCGCATGTATTCCTTGAATTCGGTATACAATATCCAAAATTAAAGTCAAATGTTTTAAGAACGCGATCCTTAAAGAAGTGTCGCTCAATCATTCGAAAGTTTTTCACGTCCTTGCTGCCTACTTGAAATTCCACCCTGCAAATTAAATAGAAAATTAGAAGAAGATTATAAGAGAATTACTTAATGAGAGATAATAAGTTGAAGAAAATCAATTTGTATTTCCTTTTGTGATCAATTATAATAAAAGGAGGTTGTCAATTTACAAAACTAATCGAGAAGAATATTCAATGAACTTTAGTTTTCGAGAACCGTTAAAAATTCAAAATTCTAAAATTAAACTTAATTTGAATTCTTATTCTTGAATTATTTCCCAAACACGCCATTCCCAGTTCCATATATTAAATTACAGAATGTCAAAAACTTTACAGACCAACAAAAATGCCATTAAAACTTAACCGTTCTCGTGAAAAACGGAAATTCCATTTACAATCTCTCGTGAACAAAGTAATTCTTCTATTATTGTCTCACGCCAAAAAAAGAGTATCCATAAATTACAAGCAAACCTTGCATAACAATAATAATATTTTCGTGTTAAATATCTTATTGAAAATTGCTTATTTCGAGACAATTGGACTAAGGTTTGGGGAACCTGTTAACAGAAAACAGAAAAACAGCTGTTTTTCGACAAAAATCTGTTAACAGAAAACAGGTTACAAAAACAGATCTGTTTTCTGTTTTTCATTTTTACATATAATTTTCAGAAAAAAAGTTTTCTTAATTTTTTGAAGAACTTAATATAGTTTTCTAGAATTCCAAATTGAAATGTATTTACTATTTTAAATTTTTTTGGATGTTTAATAGGTTTAAAATCATTATCAAATTTATGATTAATCATTACTAATTTTGCAATCGAAATTTTAAATTTGTTGAATATTTTGTAGTATTTACTAAAGTTCAAAAATATAATCAACAATTTTGCAATGTTTCTTAAAAGTATAAATATTTTTTTTTGAATTTTTATATTCCATTATATTTTGTAGAGTTAATTAACGAAAAATTAAGAAATAATAATGCATAGCTCTATAATGTATGCTTAACTGCTTATAACCACCAAAAAGTTTCATTACCTTAGAGAAACACTTAGGATAACTCAGTTTATTTTGAATTCTAGAAAAACAGGAAAACAGCTGTTTTTAAAAAACAGCTGTTTTCCATAAACCCTATATTGGACTGACAAGCCGAAAAAGGCTAATAACGCACGATATAAATGCTTTACAAAATGATTATCTCAATAAATATAATTAATACGATTAATACCATCTATTTGCATTCGAAGAAGATCAAAAATTTAGTTTTGGAACAGCTGACATGAATGCTTTCCCCTTCAAACTTTTCTTTTTCTTGAATGCAATATTTCTGTGGCTTAAATAATGGATAAGGTCACTTTGGGTGTCAATGAATAATTTGGCGGTGATCCAGAGGTTGAATAAATTGGGAAGTTCGATCTGGGTTATGATTAATTTGGAGATTTATTTTTTAATCTTATTGGATTTAAATTAATCTCAGGATTAAAATTAGACTTAAAGAAATTTTAACAGTAAACCCACTCAGGAACATAGGAACTCAAAAGTCAAAACAAACATCCAGCCACATGAACAGCGCTCAGGGTCCATTTCAAATGCATCAAAAATATCATAATTCTTACTTCATTTTTCTATCACCCACTCTCAACCCCACCTCCTCCACGCAACCCAACAAACATATTTTTTCTCTCGTATATCCTTTGTGTTTTGTGTGACTACATAGAGGATAGTAATTTAGAATTTTTATCGATTTTCACTTCAGTCGCTAACACACGAAAATATTATTACGAGTGTCAATTAAAACATCCTTAATGAAATAATTCCGTTTACTTACGTTGCCCCAACATGCTTTAATTTAAGGAATGACGATGAGAATAGATATCGAACAAATCGGCCTGAATCTTCTGTTGTTTCTTGCTTATTATCATCCGTTGTATCATTATTCTCGGATACATTTGGATCTTTACTGATATCAAACAGCACAGTATCCGTTTCTAAATCACGTATCTTAAATCTCGTAAATTCAATTTGATATTCGTTCGTGTTGGAGCACAAAAATCCATCAGTAATTTTTGCTAGCTTAAGAACATCGTCAGGTGTTATTGTATTCTTTAATTTAAGCTCTAAATCTTCACAAACATTATCTATTTCATCCGAAACGTTTATTTGCTTCTGAACGACGCTCATATTGCACTCGGAACTTATTAATTTATCCTTAATTTATTTTTTAATTCCTTCTTTCCAACTTCACTTTTTAATCATCTGAAAGCTTTAGCAGAAATTTTCTTTTTTCACTGCTAAGTGACTCACAGTATTGTCCAATTGCTTTATTGTCGTGGAAATTTGGGTGATGATGAGACGATGGAAAGTGAAATTTCCGTTAATTTTAGCAGTCAATTTTTTGAATTTCTTTAGACCATTTCCTATTTTTTTCTGAATTAAGTTGAATTTGACTGTCATGTTGGCATACATTGAATGTGTTAAGGGCTGCACTTGTATGGCTTTGTTAAATCTATGCAAATAATCATCAAAATTGTAGGTTTATAATACAATTCGTTCAGTAAATCATTGAGTTGAACTCAGTTCGGTTCATGTGAATTGTACAAAAAGGTCAAAAATTTAAATTTCAATAATCCGGTAAATTTGTAATAGCTTTAATTTTAGCTTTTGCACTTTTGTTGCCTTAACAAACTGAAATGTGCTGTTAATCGAATATATTTTTGCTTTTTCCTCTCATTAAAGAATTTTAAATTAATTTATTTAACAAATCATTATGAATTAGAACTTTCCGTTTTCTTATCATCTGGTTTAACAGCCTTAACAGGACTTTCAATTTCTATCGTCACCGGTCCATCATTGAAGATCTGAACATTCATCATAGCTCCAAATACGCCGTCTTTAATCTTGTCTGGACTATAATCTTTGCCTAAAGTTGCTAATAACTGGTCATACATTTCTTTAGCTTTTTCTCCTGACATGGCATGATGAAAATCTGGCTTATTTCCTTTAAGCTTGTAATATAATGTGAATTGAGAGATACAGAGAATTTCGAAAGTCATTTCCTTGACACTTCTCATCCATCTCTTGTCATTTTCTTCGAATAGCCTTGTGTTGAGGATCTTCCTAGATCTGTAAGTTGAGGATTGTACGGTTAAGCTAACTGGATATTAATTTGCTAATTCTATAAGATTGTATATGGCAATTTCGGCTTAATAAAATGTTTGAGTGAACACTGTCAAAATTGATCAAAATAATGCAAATTTCTGGATGTAAAATGAACATTTAACAATAATAAGCTAAATCACATAGAAACATCAACTATCCCCATTGAAAAATCCATTAATTAGCGTAAAAAATGACTTACATGAACTTGATGTCTTCTTCTGTATCATTATTACAGATTCCAATAAGCACACAAAGTCCTCTTTCAATTTTTGAAATTACTTCTCCATTGACGAGTACTCTTGCATTTGTTACTCGTTGAATTACAGCCTTCATAGCTAGTTAATTTGAGAATTTGGTGAAAGTAAAAAATCAAAACATTATTCAAAATCGTATAAAATTTTTTGAAAACATTTGAAGGGTTCTCAAAGTTATAGAGTTCATTTAGAAGCGCATTGAGAGAAAGAATTTTATGCATCATTTTTAATTTCGGGAATTAAACGATCAAATACGCTTCAGAAATAGCTTAATTCATCATATATTAATAGTTAACGGAGGTAAGATTTCATTTAACTTCAAGTACTGTAAAAATCTAATCGATTTAATATCAAAAATTGTGAGTGAAAAAAAATGAAGAAAAATTTGGTAATGAAAAAGCAAAAAAAGCAAGAAAAAATGTCGAAAAGTTTTTGTGATGTAAAAATTATTAATTATCACCCAAAACAAGTCCCCCCAAGTTCAAAAAGTATCTTATTAAACAGTAAAACATAAATAAGTTTATAGTGAAAAATATTGGAACTAGTTAAGTTCCATCCGATACAATATTTAATGTAGTTCAATAAGAATAAAATAAAAAAATGCTACATATAATGGGTAAGAAGGTAAGAATCTTTAAACAAAACAAGAAGGATTTTTTAAAAAACTTTTCCGATAATTCATATATAATTAACTTTTGCTGATCCAACAAGCAGCATAATTATTATTCATATCAATTTTTTTTATGGGGAAGTAAAGTAAATCAAAGCATAACAACATCCAGAAGAGTTACAGCAATGAAAAATCAACTTGATCAAATTTAATTTTAACTTTTTGTTCTTGGAAAACCTTTTTTAGATCTGTAAAACATGGAAAGTGACGATGATTCTCGTACGTCTAACTCATCTGGATCTTCAAATTCGTCATCAAATGGACCAGCAAGTCCAGCACCACAAAATGACAATGAAAATGAGTCAAATGATCAGCCAGAACGATCGAATTCAGTGTCTCAAGACAGTAATTCCATCCAGGATATACAGGATAATAGCAATCAAGGACATAAATCACCATCGCCAGTTCACGATAAAAGTAATGAACAAGAACAGTCAAAAAGTGGACAAGATGATGAGGAAGAACTAGAATTATCAGATATCGATGATGACGAATCGAATAAGAATAACAAGAAAGATATAAGTCACGAAGACTTGAGTGATATTAGTGATTTAGAGAGTAGCAATGGACCTCCATCGCCTGAATACACTGATTTACGTCAAAAGTTACAGAATAAGCGTCAAAATGGATCTACAAATGAATTAGACATGAAAAACGACGAAGATGAATTAGATTTTGAGGACGATGAAGTTAAAGAAAGTTCAGAGTCGGTTAAAAAGCAGCCACAGATGCAGCAACAACAACAACAATTACCGCCACAAGAGTCTAAAGATAGTGGAAATGGTTCAGTCAAGGAAGATGGCGAACATAAATCTGATATAGAGCTTGAAAGTGGCGAAGAATTAGAAGATGGAGAAGTTACAGATGGCGATGAAAAGCGGCCAGAAGAATCGGAACCGAAAGCAGTTTGTCGTTTTTTTACGCGCGGTCAGTGTACATGGGGAATGAGTTGTCGATTCTTACATCCAGGAACAACAGATAAAGGAAATTATACAATGTTTGATCTTGTACGTCCTATTCCAGTTCCTCAAGGTAATATGGGAATGATGCCTTCATATGATTATCGTACCGAACGCCCACCAATTCATCATGCACCACACATTCCACCTAATTATGGAGGGCCTGCAAGGCCACCATTGCCAGCTAATGACAATGAATCTGCTTGGGAACGTGGATTAAGGACAGCTAAGGAAATGATGAGAAAGGCTAATAAACGAAAGGAACAAGATATGGACTTTGACGAAAAGAAAATGAATTTATCAGGTCCACCAGATGAAGTTGAACGAGATCCTTACTATGTTCGTGGATCACCTGAAGTAAGCTTTACATTTTTGACTAGATCCAATTATTAATGCTTAAATAAATTTACAGGACGCACCAGCATTTGAGAAATTACCGAGAGGACCTCCTCCAATGCGTGGTGGTCCACCATTTAGTCCACCAGCGAAATTTGCACGAAATGCTGCATTTTACGAAGCAGATCAATATGGACGAATGCCTAGATCTTATCGTGAATTACCACCACATCGTATGCCTCACTATGAAGATGAAGAGATTGGTAAGAGACGACCTAATCGTCCAACGCGTGAAGTTATTGTAGAAAAAGCAAGCGATGATTGGAATGATCCTTGGATGAGAAAAAAATCACCAGGTCGCGGTGGGAGTAGTAAAGGCAGAAAAGGACGTGAGCGATCATATAGCAGCAATAGCAGTTACAGTTCGTCAAGTAGTTCAAGCAGAAGTCGCTCTAGATCACATTCATCATCGGATTCTTCACCAAATCCAAATAATCGACGTCGTTTTGATTCTAAAAATTCCCGAGAACATATAACTCCAAGAAAAGTTGACAGAAAGTCCAGAAGTACATCATTAAAACGTCGTCATTCTCCAGTACGTCCACGAATTACAAAGAAAGCTATTTCACCTGTTGTAGTTCCTAAACGTGCAAAGAAGCAAGTATCGCCAAGCGCTATTAAAGCAGTTTCAGGACAACGCAAGAAACGGGACAGTTCATCGTCATCAGGTGGATCAGAATCAGACTCTTCATATTCATCGAGCACAAGCAGCTCAAAGGGAAAGAAACGACGTGAAAAATTGGCATCTGAAAGAAAGCCAGCTGCTGCAAAGAAAGGTAAGAATAAATCGTAGGATTAAAAATAAATCCAACAGATTTAAAATAACTTTCAATTGATAAATTCTAGTTGAAATGACAAAGAAGCGAGCAATATCTCCAGTACAGCAACCAGCAGCAAAAGAAGACGATAAGCCAGTTGAGAAACCAAGCGAAAAGGCATCAGCAGCAGCAAAATTAAAATCATCAAGACGTGAGGAGTTATTGAAACAATTGAAGGCTGTTGAAGACGCAATCGCCAGAAAACGATCAAAAATCACTTAAATAAAGAAAATGTTTTTAATCCGTGCAACACAATACAACAGAATGTTGCATCAACAATTTGAATACAACAATAAGCTTAGATTCACTACTGAAATATTTCAAGTAATATTTTTTATTTGTTTAGTAATTGTAATTGATTTTCTCCTTAAAATTATATTTGAATAACGATAAACTATAGTATACATACACAATAAATGATTAAAAAGGAATGGTTCAATGTCTTTATCTTGAATTTTTGGGCGTTTTAGGAAAATTTTACGTTAAGAATACAAAAAAAACCGTTAAAAATTTGAAAATTACCTGAAATTATGACAAGATTTGAATTTTTGAAAGTTGTTAAATTTGGACTTGAAATTATGACAAGATTTGAGTTTTTGAAAGTTGTTAAATTTTGACAAGATTTGAATTTTTGCAGGACGTTAAATTTGGACCTGAAATTATAACAAGATTTGAATTTTTGAAAGCTGTTAAATTTTGACCTGAAATTATGACAAGATTTAAGTTTTTGAAAGTTGTTAAATTTTGACAAGATTTGAATTTTTGCAGGACGTTAAATTTGGACCTGAAATTATAACAAGTTTGAGTTTTTGAAAGTTGTTAAATTTTGACAAGATGTGAATTTTCGCAAGACGTCAAATTTTGACCTGAAATTATAACAAGATTTGAATTTTTGAAAGCTGTTAAATTTTGACTTGAAATTATGAAGATTTGAGTTTTTGAAAGCTGTTAAATTTTGACAAGATTTGAATTTTCGCAAGACGTTAAATTTTGACCTGAAATTATAACAAGATTTGAATTTTTGAAACTGTTAAATTTTGACCTGAAATTATGACAAGATTTGAGTTTTTGAAAGTTGTTAAATTTTGACAAGATTTGAATTTGCGCAAGACGTTAAATTTTGACCTGAAATTATAACAAGATTTGAATTTTTGAAAGCTGTTAAATTTTGACCTGAAATTATAACAAGATTTGAGTTTTTGAAAGTTGTTAACTTTTGATCTGAAATTATAACAAGATTTGAATTTTTGAAAGACGTTATCTTTTGACCTGAAATTATAACAAGATTTGAATTTTTAAAAGCTGTTTAATTTTGACCTGAAATTATGACAAGATTTGAGTTTTTGAAAGTTGTTAAATTTTGACAAGATTTGAATTTTTGCAAGACGTTAAATTTTAACCTGAAATTATAACAAGATTTGAGTTTTTGAAAGCTGTTAAATTTTGACCTGAAATTATGACAAGATTTGAGTTTTTGAAAGTTGTTAAATTTTGACAAGATGTGAATTTGCGCAAGACGTTAAATTTTGACCTGAAATTATAACAAGATTTGAATTTTTGAAAGACGTTAAATTTTGACCTGAAATTATAACAAGATTTGAGTTTTTGAAAGTTGTTAAATTTTGACCTGAAATTATGACAAGATTTGAGTTTTTGAAAGCTGTTAAATTTGGACCTGAAATTATGACAAGATTTGAGTTTTTGAAAGTTGTTAAATTTTGACAAGATTTGAAATTGCGCAAGACGTTAAATTTTGACCTGAAATTATAACGAGATTTGAATTTTTGAAAGCTATTAAATTTGGACCTGAAATTATGACAAGATTTGAGTTTTTGAAAGTTGTTAAATTTTGACAAGATTTGAATTTTTGCAAGACGTTAAATTTTGACCTGAAATTATAACAAGATTTGAATTTTTGAAAGCTGTTTAATTTTGACCTGAAATTATGACAAGATTTGAGTTTTTGAAAGTTGTTAAATTTTGACAAGATTTGAATTTTCGCAAGACGTTAAATTTTGACCTGAAATTATAACAAGATTTGAATTTTTGAAAGCTGTTTAATTTTGACCTGAAATTATGACAAGATTTGAGTTTTTGAAAGTTGTTAAATTTTGACAAGATTTGAATTTGCGCAAGACGTTAAATTTTGACCTGAAATTATAACAAGATTTGAATTTTTGAAAGACGTTAAATTTTGACCTGAAATTATGACAAGATCTGAATTTTTCAAAGCTGTTAAATTTTGACAAGATTTGAATTTTCGCAAGACGTTAAATTTTGACCTGAAATTATAACAAGATTTGAGTTTTTGAAAGTTGTTAAATTTTGAATTTTTGAAAAACGTTTGAAAAATCAAAAATTTTATAAATTTGAAAAGTATTTAAAATCCAATTCTTTTATTCCTTGATATTATGGCTCATTTGCGTTAATTATTTATTTAAAAAAAAACATTTTTGACTTAAACATTTAATAGAATTAATTTAATATAAAAATGGATAAGCGCTTTTACCAGCAACGTAGTCTAGCATAGCTAGTGGATAAAGTGTTGCTGGAGAATTATACTTTTGTTCGATTGAAACATCTTTGCTAGCTATCCATTTTTCCTTAAGATATTCTTTGACTTGATCATAATCCGTTAAAGCGATGTTCTTAGGAATTATTGCCAGTCGTCCTTCTTGCAGTTCATGAGTAATTTTATTCCTTAAGCACATATCAGTTGGTCGTATTTGTCTTGTACAAAGCCTACAATCACATCTAAACATATGCAGTTCCTCAATTGTCGTCAAACTCTTTGTTGTTATGGTGTCCGATCTAAAAATATATTATTCATGATAAAATAAGCTATAACTAGACCCAAGATAGCACTATGGGCCAGAAATGGAAAATTTTTCCAAAAATTATTTCTACAGCTTATATGATAGTTCTTATTCTGCCCTACATTTACGTCCTTAAAACTTTGCCCAAGTCGACAGCATGTCCGAGATATGGCACTTCAAAGTTGGTCAGACGACCATTTTCACGTTACATTGAAAATGCTCTCACCAGATACTGGATGGATGAATCTCCTTCAAATTTTTTTTGTTAATAGCTTTAAATTGTTACTTTATTTTAAAATATAAACAATTGCAAATAACTTTGGAAAATTTTGTGAAAAACTTGATTTTTCTCAAAAACCACGTGTTCGTCATACTTTCGTTTGTGTAGGTCTTCACAAGCACAACCAAAGTTACTAATTTCTTTTTTATATTAAAGACTACATCAAAAGCTATAACTTTTGCATACATGTCGTATAATTTTAACAAAGTTTTTATAGTGAAAAAAAATTTTTTTGTAAAAAAAACACCAATTTTTTGACAAACATCGCTGTAGTGCTTCAGGGATACCCATGGTAGTGGAATTTTATTTCACATTTAAAAAGTTCTCTAGATATACTATCAATTAATGCAATAAAATGAACAAGTGTTCTCTTGGCAAAGAGCACTTTTTTGACTCTGAAAGTCGTATGTCGAGCAAGGTCAAAAAAGAAAAATAATCATAAAAATTTCAGTTTTAAATAAAATTTAATTTTTTTAAGTTAGATTGATAGATCTTTTCAAAACGCGTCTTTTGAGTATAAATATGTCATAGTTTTGTCAAGTTTCATGATCATTTTTTTAAAAAAATAGTTTTTTTCAAAAAAAAATTGAAAAATAAAGTATTTGACTTTAGAATTTCATAAAATGCATTCTTTTTCTCATTTTTTTCACTACTTTGTCTAGTTTTGCTCCTAGTTTTTTTCCTAAACATAAATCAATAAGAACTTAACATAATTGAAGCCATTTGGAGGTTAAATTGAGTTAAAAATCGTTTAAAATTTTTGTATTTCTCAAATAGTTCTTTACACAAGTATCTAAGATATAAAGTGTTGCATAGTTTTGAAAAGGTATTAAAATTTCCAATATGTTAACATGAAGAGTTTTGGAAAATTTTCAAGTAATATAGTCAATTTGGGTAAAAAAAGCATTTTTTATATGCTAGTTTTTAATGTTTTTCGTTTTTCTCAGCAAAGACTTTATGAAAAACTCTCAAAGTTTGCACACTTATTTGTTATATAAATGTAAATGACTCGTATAAGTTTTGGAATTTTCCATTGAGTTTTTCATGAGTTCTCCAAATCTGAAATTTTCAATATTAAAAATTCATTTTTCTCAATAATTGCGATTTTTTATTTATAAAAAAATATCTTATTTTGTTTCATTTTTCAATATTTTTTCATTGTTATATAACAATCTACGAAAAAATTAAGACTAAAGAGAAATCAATAAAAAAGTGTCAAAAATGTTTGAAAATTCTACGCTATTTTAATTTTTTAAGCCTTTTCTGGTCAATTGCTAAGTTTTATAAGAGTGTTATACCTTTTTGGAATTATATAACTTAATACTTTCATCCACTATAATTCTTATGAGTCTACGATAAGCACAACTGAAGTTAAATAAGCTTCACGTTGGCGACAAAAGACAGTTCCATATGAAGAAAACCAGATATTAATTTTATTGCTATTTGAGCTATAATATTAAGCTTTTTCATCTAGTTTTGTTATAAATGTTTCATGTATTTAATAGCAGCCTGAAGATATAATTTAAAGCTTTTAAATAATTTGATTTTAAAAAATTCAAAATTTTTGGTTGTCACCAACGTGAAGCTTATTTAACTTCAGTTGTGCTTATCGTAGACTCATAAGAATTTTAGTGGATGAAAGTATTAAGTTATATAATTCCAAAAAGGTATAACACTCTTATAAAACTTAGCAATTGACCAGAAAAGGCTTAAAAAATTAAAATAGCGTAGAATTTTCAAACATTTTTGACACTTTTTTATTGATTTCTCTTTAGTCTTAATTTTTTCGTAGATTGTTATATAACAATGAAAAAATATTGAAAAATGAAACAAAATAAGATATTTTTTTATAAATAAAAAATCGCAATTATTGAGAAAAATGAATTTTTAATATTGAAAATTTCAGATTTGGAGAACTCATGAAAAACTCAATGGAAAATTCCAAAACTTATACGAGTCATTTACATTTATATAACAAATAAGTGTGCAAACTTTGAGAGTTTTTCATAAAGTCTTTGCTGAGAAAAACGAAAAACATTAAAAACTAGCATATAAAAAATGCTTTTTTTACCCAAATTGACTATATTACTTGAAAATTTTCCAAAACTCTTCATGTTAACATATTGGAAATTTTAATACCTTTTCAAAACTATGCAACACTTTATATCTTAGATACTTGTGTAAAGAACTATTTGAGAAATACAAAAATTTTAAACGATTTTTAACTCAATTTAACCTCCAAATGGCTTCAATTATGTTAAGTTCTTATTGATTTATGTTTAGGAAAAAAACTAGGAGCAAAACTAGACAAAGTAGTGAAAAAAATGAGAAAAAGAATGCATTTTATGAAATTCTAAAGTCAAATACTTTATTTTTCAATTTTTTTTTGAAAAAAACTATTTTTTTAAAAAAATGATCATGAAACTTGACAAAACTATGACATATTTATACTCAAAAGACGCGTTTTGAAAAGATCTATCAATCTAACTTAAAAAAATTAAATTTTATTTAAAACTGAAATTTTTATGATTATTTTTCTTTTTTGACCTTGCTCGACATACGACTTTCAGAGTCAAAAAAGTGCTCTTTGCCAAGAGAACACTTGTTCATTTTATTGCATTAATTGATAGTATATCTAGAGAACTTTTTAAATGTGAAATAAAATTCCACTACCATGGGTATCCCTGAAGCACTACAGCGATGTTTGTCAAAAAGTTGGTGTTTTTTTTACAAAAAAATTTTTTTTCACTATAAAAACTTTGTTAAAATTATACGACATGTATGCAAAAGTTATAGCTTTTGATGTAGTCTTTAATATAAAAAAGAAATTAGTAACTTTGGTTGTGCTTGTGAAGACCTACACAAACGAAAGTATGACGAACACGTGGTTTTTGAGAAAAATCAAGTTTTTCACAAAATTTTCCAAAGTTATTTGCAATTGTTTATATTTTAAAATAAAGTAACAATTTAAAGCTATTAACAAAAAAAATTTGAAGGAGATTCATCCATCCAGTATCTGGTGAGAGCATTTTCAATGTAACGTGAAAATGGTCGTCTGACCAATATTGAAGTGCCATATCTCGGACATGCTGTCGACTTGGGCAAAGTTTTAAGGACGTAAATGTAGGGCAGAATAAGAACTATCATATAAGTTGTAGAAATAATTTTTGGAAAAATTTTCCATTTCTGGCCCATAGTGGATAGTACTCACATATAATTAAAGAAGATTTGTTCGCCTGCTTTTACTGGATGTTGAATAACAGTAGCAACTTTATTGTCAACTAAAACAGTAAATGCGTTATTTAAGCATGAATGATTGATTAAACTTGCAAACAAGGAAACATGACATCCAACTTCTAAATATTCATTCTCATTGACGAAGATGAGCGATTTTTTGCTATTTAAATTAAAGACGCTTAAAATCCTTTGTGCAGTCTGTTCAGAGACATAATTGTAAATATTGCAGCATTCTCCAAAATTGCTGTGCTCATTAGTTGACAATGATAGTAAGCATGTCATTAAATTCTTTTGGTACTCTGGATCTTCTTGGTTGTTAAAGTCAAAGTCAAAGATTGTCTTGTTTAGTTCCTCTGGATCTGTATTCAGAATAAAGTCGTCAATTTTTTCCTTGCTTCCAAATGCTTTAGCTATATCTGATAAAATTTTAACATCAGCAGACACAATTCCATCAATATTGATAGCTTTACAGTACAAATCATCTCTACATGCAGTCGAACAGAACATCATGTGACCTGCAATATTCAAAAGACACAAAGTTAAAAAGTGAGGATATATTTCACTGAATGTTGTGCCTGTAAACTAACCAGTAAGATCACAAGGAATTAAGTTCAAAGCATTGGTTTTATAACAATTATAGCAATGAGAATATTCATGGTTTGTGTCTCTAAAATTTATCAGAATATCCTCAATACAAATTATATCTCCCGGTTCTAAGTTACATGATGCATAGATTCCACGTCCGTACTTTTCAGTTGTTCGAACTTCTACGCGATCTACAATCCAAGGAACTTTCTTATTCGGTGGATATGACAATTTAAAGATCTTCAATGGATTTCCTTCGTCTATTTTTGGTTCCAACATTGATTCTCGACACTGCATTTCCCGTTCATTTAATTGTGGAAATTTATCTTCGGGATATCGATTGTCACGTGCTAACTGGATGTTTTGAAGGCACTCTTCATACATTTCGACCTCATAATAAATAGCACTTCTATTTGCATATCCAATTGACAGATCCTTTCTTCTTTTAGCATGCGACAATAATTGATTGTAGAGAATTAATGCAAGGAAGTAGTTCTGTTTATTATAGTATTTATTGCCAAGTTTAAGCGCTATATTTCCTTTTGCTCGTGTTTTATGATTAAGAGCGACGTGGAACATATCATCACACATTTTCTATCACTTTTAAGTATTTAATTAAACTAGAAATCTTCTTTTTGGGTTATTTTTACAATTTGGCAAGTCAGCAGTTCTGTTTAGTTCGGTTAAAAAGGGTCTAGTTTATTTCAGTTCAGTCAAAAAACATTCAGTAATCAAAAAGTTCGTTTCATTACAGTTGAAAATTCTAGAGTTTTCAAGTTTCAAAATATCGTTACTTCAACTTATTACTATTTTTCAAAAAGAAAGCTTTTATTCAAGAGCTAATCTAATTGTTTGGTGGCACAAGTTAAAATGTAATTAGTATTAAGTTGAAAAAAGAAAATAATCTGCATCCTTAATGGACTTAAGTGCAAGTAAAGCTTGTTCTCATTGCACTGTTGTACACTCAAATTTAGGTAAATTGATATGTTAAGTATGTATGCATGATTTTTGTTAAAAGGTTATTGGATATGTTAAAGAAAAAGTTATCATTCTCAAAGCTACCAGTGCATGAGGATAATTATATCTCATAAAATTTGGAATACTCGTATCTTGATTGAGATCGTCCCAAATTTTCACCATTGATCTTTTTACTTTTTCAGGATTATTAAGTATCATTTCCACTATTGCAGTTTTGATTAAATTCATGATGTAGCCAGCGTTGTTCAAAGATGGTAAATTAACAAAATGGTTTTTCATATATCGATGAACTTCGCATTTGCATTTAAACAAGTGAATATCATCAGTGAAGTATTCATCACCTTCTTTTGATAAATCGCTGTCAATTTTAAAAAATTTATTATATACTTTTATATCGAAAAAATAAAAAAAATGTAGGACTTACTCATAATTGACAAAAAGCTGCTCGCCTTCTTTAATAGCTCTAAATACGATTGTGAATACTTTATTATCGAGATTCATGCAAATGACATTACTAAAGCATGAATGGTTGATCAGGCTTTCAAACAATGAAACTTGATGACCAAAATTCAGGCCTTGAGTAATAGTTGAATTAACCAAGTAGTAAGAATTTTTGTTATTTATATTAAACACACTCAAAAGATGCTGAACAGCTTTTTCTGACACATAGTCACGGATATGACATGAATTATCAATAATATGATCGTTTGTGGATAATGACAGCAAGCAAGTCATTAAATTTTTCTTATATTCCGGATCATTTGTCTCTGTCCAATCGTAATCAAAGATGCTTTTGTTGAGGTTCTTTAAGTCTGTGTCGTGAATAAAATTATCGAACTTTTCAACACTTCCAAAAGCAGCACTAACATTCGACAGCATTTTTACATCAACAGATGAAATTTCGTCTAAATTTACAGCCTCTTTGTAAAGTTTTTTCTTGCATTCAGTCGAACAGAACATCATTGATGCTGAAATGAGGAATACAGTTTGTTTATTTAAAAATAAATCGTAGGATTAAAATGAAATCCGTTGGATTTAAAAATTACCTGTTTGATCACAAGGAATTAAGTTCATTGCGTTTCCTTTTACACATTGATAGCATCGAACAAATTTAAACATCTCATTTGTATAGGTAAATACAGGCTCTTCAACACAGATTACATTACCAGGCTTTAAATCTCTTGTAGCATAGATTCCACGACCAAATACTTTAGTACGTCGCATCTCAACACAGTCAACAAGCCATGGAATCTTCTCATTAGCTGGATATGAAAGCTCAAACACCTTCAACGGATCAATAGGTTCTGGATTTGATATTGCCATCATAATCTTGCACTTTTCTATTCGTATTGTAAATTTTTCACGTTTTTCTTCTGGATATTCATTATCAAGAGCCCACTTCATGTTTAATAAACAATCTTTGTATCGTCGTGTCTCAAAGTAAACAGCACTTCTGTTTCCATATCCCAATGATGCAACAGTCTTCGATTTAGCAAATAAAATCGATGCATTATAATTAAGTAGAGAATAAAACCAATCCTTCTCAAAAAAATACTTATTTCCGATTTCACGATATTTTTGAGCTTCTTCATCGGATTTATCCTTTGTACATATATTGAACATACTATCATCCATACTGGCAACCTTTTTATATTCCCTTAACTTACTTAAATTCACTTAAAAATGACAAAATCAAAATGATTTAATTTTAACCAAAATATAATTTCCAGCCTGGTTCGCTGATCAAATATAATTTGAATTTGAAAAGGCAGTTATATTTCAAACTTTTATTGACAGTTAAATCATCAAAATAAGTACAAGTAATCTAAGAAACACTGACCAAGCAGTTGAATGGATGCATGCATAAAGTAACAACATTTTATATTCAACATTCAATATAATATTCATTAATAATTCTTTAAATTAGGTAAATCATTGTCATCATACCTCAACATTCTCTCTTCTCATTATCTAGTAATTAAGTTATTCGTACATAACTAATGAAGCCAATAAATAAACTAGTGTATCGAGTAGAAACCCAATGCGGATATATTCACACCGTACCATCAAAAGTCTTATGGATAGACCAAGATTTGCTCAGCATAAGTTTGAAGGTCGTGAAGTACGGCCGAGACCCATATCGACACAGTTCAAAAGATATACCTAATTTATGTCATAATTATGTCAGCTACAAAAACACTTAGTTTGAATTTTGTCACCCTCGGGAACACTATGAACCAGTATAGCTGATTTTGGTCCAAATCTCGGCCATACTTCAAACTTATTTGAACCACATTTTCTCGTAAATGTTAAAATATTATTAAAAAGTAATTAATCCTGAATTATGTCGCTATTTTGTCAAGTGTTTTAAGATAAAGAATTTGTTTTTTGGTTTCCACAGTGAAGAGTATGAACAAAATTCAGATTGGGTAGTCGAAATTTTAGATTTCGATTTTTTTTTAAGTTATGCATCACAAAAAGTAATATTGGTATGTGATTTATGTAAGAATTATGTCAATTCAAATAAAACATCCAAAAAATTTTTTTGACCAAAGTACACCATAGAAAATCAATTTTCAATTTTGGACTAGGGGCGACCCTAGTCAAAATCAATTTTGTCACTTTTTTCTTCGAGGGTTTATCCAAATGGATTGAAACTTTGCATAAATATTCTAGTGCTTAAAACAAATACAAATAAAACATCCTAAAATTTTTTTGAGCAAAGAACCAAGTAGGAAATACATTTTCAATTTTGGACTAGGGGCGAACCTAGTCAAAATCAATTTTGTCACTTTTTTCTTCGAGGGTTTATCCAAATGAATTGAAACTTTGCATAAATATTCAAGTGCTTAAAACAAATACAAATAAAACATCCTAAAATTTTTTTGAGCAAAGAACCAAGTAGAAATACATTTTCAATTTTGGACTAGGGGCGACCCTAGTCAAAATCATTTTAGTCATTTTTTTCTTCGAGGGTTTATCCAAATGGATTGAAACTTTGCATAAATATTCTAGCGCTTAAAACAAATACAAATAAAACATCCTAAAATTTTTTTGAGCAAAGAACCAAGTAGGAAATACATTTTCAATTTTGGACTAGGGGCGACCCTAGTCAAAATCATTTTAGTCATTTTTTTCTTCGAGGGTTTATCCAAATGGATTGAAACTTTGCATAAATATTCTAGTGCTTAAAACAAATACAAATAAAACATCCTAAAATTTTTTTGAGCAAAGAACCAAGTAGGAAATACATTTTCAATTATGAACTTGGGACAGGTCCAGTCAAAATCTAGTTTTTTACTTTTTTCTTCGAGAGTAAATCCAAATACAGTAAAACTTTGTATGAGCATTCTAATCTTCAGGTCACACATTTCTGAATTAATAAAAATCATTTTTTTGGAAAAAATTTTAAGTCACGTTGTTTTTGAATGTACAACCAAATTTATAAAATTTGGGTCTGACGACATATAGAATACATTTCTTGCTTTAGATATTTAAAACTGTTTTGTATAAATATTAGTATACTCACACAAAGTTTCACTGTAATTGGATAAACCTTCGAAGAAAAAAAGTGAAAAACTAGATTTTGACTAGACCTGTCCCAAGTTCAGAATTGAAAATGTATTTCCTTCTTGGTTCTTTGCTCAAAAAAATTTTTTTCATCCAAAGTTTAATTTAAAAAAAAATCACAGTGAACTTTTAATTTGAAAAATTCGTAAGAAAGGAAAGTTTTTTGCTTTTTCTGAAGCAACGGCTGTTCCTACCTTGCCCAAAAACAATACAGCTCTTCTATAGAGCAGCACGGATCAAATGTAAAAAACTAGAAGTCTCTACAATGTCTCGTTATTGAGATTTCTTGCTGATTAACTTGCTTGCTTGCTTGCTTTCTTGCTTGTTTGCTTACAGAAAGCGTATTTTGCGATTTTCTCAGCAATGCCACAACCAATTTGAAATCTGTTTTTTGAAAATGATGTAAAATTTCAGGCACAAACTTTTCTTCTGTGACCTTTTATAACCAATTTTGCTTTGTTTTCTCACAAAATGCGAAAAACTGATTTTTCAATCTGAACAAAACCAATAGATTCACACGTGAAAATGGTGTGAATATAATTATTAATACAGCATAATTCACAATAACCAAAAATTAATAAGACAGTATGTTGTGCTTGCCTCAGTTTCCGCTTATACTACACTTTCGATGGTTTTGTTTCTGACATATATTATTGACAAGTAATGTGTAGCACATATGAGCATGACATGAATGTCAGAAAGTGCACATAAATTAATTAAAATTGAAGCATAATTAATAGAGAAACATCTGCGGATTTAATTAATTTAATTTTCCATGTTTCATTGCACTTTGCTTGATAATGGAATGGATAGAAATAAAAGGCAAACTCATTGTAGTGCACAAATTGAGATAAAGAAGCTGTGGTGGAGTAAGGAATGATGAGGAACAGAAGTGTAGGAATGGGTTAAGTATAGGAAAAGATGAGGAAACCTTTCTTGCATTCATTAATTCAATTAACAGTTAAATTAGAACAAACAAGATGGGTTAGGTTGTAACAAAAGAGTCACCTTTCTGAATAAAAACCCTAGCTCCGTTCCAGAACACAATAACCATAAGAAGTAGAATAAGAGACAAAATAACGAAGAAAATATCATTCTGATTCTTAATTAAATTAATTTGCATACAAAAAGTTCATGATTAAAGATAGATAGATAAATAGTATGCGGAAGGATGAAACAAAATAAAAACAGAAAATGAAAAACAAAATCATGTTAGCTTCTATCTGATGAGGTCATTTTCTTAGTGGAATTAAATTAGAGCACTTGTTAATTTTTCTACTCTGCTTTTAGTTTTTAATCTTTTTCTGTCTACTATTATACGTAGATGTACAAACAGAAGACTTTTAGAATATTTTTTACTTTGAGGGTATTCCACTTGTTCTTTTACTATTTCATGCTTTATTCTTTTTAACACTATTTTTGGACTAATTGACTAGACGAATAGGTGTTTTAATGATTGATGACAGAGAAATGAAACTGTTAATGAGACAATTTTTAATATTTTCGTTGGAATTTGTAATTTGAGAGAGATTTGTCTGACTTGGTTCTAAAATCGGTTAAAGAATTTGACGATTGAAGTTAAAGTATTTAAAGATGAATTGTGTTAGATTTAAATTGTTTTGGAAAAGAATCAGATTCACTCCAAACCCGATTAGCAAAACTCTAAATTGATTAAAATGTTGATTCCTCGGTTTTGGAGAGTAGAGATTACTTAGAATCTGCCAAATCACAAATCATTGTAAATTCACAATCATCATGCCTGCGCTCCAATCGTTTAAAGCTTAATCCAATTCTAAACTTCCATTAAAGCGTGTTTGCAAATTAGTTCAGCTGTCATGTCAAAAACACCTTTAAACAAACTCAAATCTTTTTGTTTTTCTATTTTCTAATTTGGCAATAATTCATAATCTTGAACAGAAATGTCTCAACAGAAATTAGGACGGTTAGAGACCTCGACGAGAGTTGACTTTTCTTCCTTCTATTTTTATTGTATTTAAATTTTCACTTAACTCTCATGCATGTTGTTAACAAGAATAAATCTTGTTTTTCTCAAGTGCTTCAAGTGAGTGAGTGAAAAGACCTTCAGCACTTGGAAATATTTGCGTACGTGTTATTTTTTTTTTCTTCCTTCTATTCCTCTCGTTAGGATTATGTAAATTTCTTTCTGTCATGATAAAAACCGCATAAAGAGCTTTATGATCAATCTTAATAGGCTTAAAAGCATTTCTTTCGAGATTTCAAAGTAAATCCCCTGATGTAAGTATCTTTATATACGACATAAGATGACAGCGTAAACTAGGAAGAAATTCTTATTTTTTGCTGATATGACTTTTTAATTCAATTATAGATATCGCTTCTTAATTAAGGAAATGAGGTGGCATTAACAAGGACCGATTTATGTGAATGATGCAATTAACATTCGACATAAGAGAGGAGGAAGCAAGAGACGTCTGAGAGATGTGAACCAATTCCGGTTTCATTTGTAGATGAGTTTAATGTTAAATGTAACTGTGTTCTTAGCAGTTTTGAATAATTTTTAGGTTAATTGGGTCAAATTGTCTGTGATTTGGATTATCCAGGTTACTAAAGATCTATCTTTGAGTGCTTATTCTCGCCCACTAGCTTAATAGCGCTAGTTCCAGTTTTTTATTAAATAAAAGAGGACATAGTTTAATCAACAGCCTACGATCAAAAGTTGACCAATTTTTTGGAATTATTTATCTGGTACAAAATGTGTTAAGGAATTGTCGACATCAATCAATGTTATTGTTTGAATCATAATGTTGAGTGCTGAATTGCTCCAGTAAAACATTGCAACATCAAACATTCACATCCAAACAATCAACAAAACGTTCAGCAATCAATCAAACATTGGCACTTAAAATATTCGAATCATGACGTACAGAGGAAATTCTCGATCGTGACTTAAGTGCAGAGTATTTAGAGGCAACACTTAAAATAACCAATAAACAAATTATCTCGAATGAATCAACCTTACTTTGCTATTAGCTTTTATTTAGTCATGAGTGATTGAAAATTACTAATTTAATGACTAAGATTTTTCGTCACCTTGACTAAGAAAATTTTCAACAGCTAAATGGAAATTCTTTCGACATGCCTCGGAAAAATGAAAAGGAAGTGCATAAATAACAATCAATTTTTCTCCGTTT